TCTTGCCTGGTCTGAAGTGCCCTAGACTTTGAACCCAGGTGGCTTCGTCACCCGTAGTTCGGCCTTGGGTGTTAGGGAAAGGAGACCAGTGCCAGGTAAAGCCATCACCTTGGGCCTTGACTACAGTTGTTTTCAGATGGACCAGTCTTCCTGCTGTGCTTCCTTAGGCCATAGTATTTTCCCGTTTTGGTGGGAAAGGAAAAGCAATAATGCCACATGTAAATCCAAATACTCATCTCTGAAGTATGTTGAATTTGAGTGAACTTCCTTAACCCTCAGAGCCGTGGATAACTAGCCATATTAACTTGGTTTAAAAAAGGGGTTGTACAGATTTAACCATAAGTAACATGTTAAATCTTCTCTCCGTTTTCCAGTAGTAGTTAAGTTAATATTTTGGAAGTCCTACAATTTTTAATTGACTCATAGAATTTTAGAGTTAGAAGGGACCTGGTAGTTATCTAGCCTAAACCCTTTATCTTGTTGATGAGAAATTGAGGATCAGAGAGAGTAAGTTATTTAAGATCGTAAAGCTAGTCATTGGAAGTAGTTGAAAACACTTCATTGAGGATTTTACAATAAAAGGTGGAGAGGCACATTTAGTTTTTAATAAATACATCTGATTGGAAGGAACTCACATTTTACTTGTAATTTAGGATGTTTTTTCTCTTATCTATGAAAGGATTGAAACTGGAATATGGAAAAACTCCCAGTTATTATTGCATATGTAAAAGCCTTAAAAAATAGTCAGCATGTGTTTGATATGCTAGGTTGAAGTGACATAAGGCTTTGGTTTTTTTTTTTTGCTTTTAGTTAAATCATGAGAAATTATTTAAAGTAACTCATTGACTGTAGTTCTGAAAAATGAGACATTTCTTTAGAATGCTCTTTTGTGTTTTGTACCACTTTTTAAAATGTAACAATTAATATGTTAAATCTGCATCCTAATATAGTGTCTGAATCATATTTATTTGGTTTTATTCTTTTATGCAAACAGTATTAGGGGAGAGAGTGCTTATCAAACAATGCCATTTTATAAAAAGCTAGTTTGAAAAAAGAACTTTATTTCACATATTACACTGTTGAATGTGGGACCAAGGCTGGCAAATTTTGTACTAGAATTAGTGATTTTAAAATTGAGCAATTCCTACCTTGAAAAGGTGAGGGAAGTTAGGGAGGTGTTGTGCATGGCCATGTAATTGGACCAGTTAAGAAACAGGTGGGATGTTTTTCAGACTACTCTTGAAAAGTGAGAATGTAAGAAATAAAAGAGATGTGATTTAGTGAGCAACTACGGTCTTCAAGCAGACATTAAGAGGAAAAAAGTGAGGAAGAGGGAGGGAAGTTGTGCTCAAATATCACCTAGTATGTCTTCACAAAAAGTAAGGGTATGGACTTACAATCCAGCCTGTTTCCTGTTGTAGAAACTTAAACCTGGCCATTGTGTGTAAAATGTCTTGCTAAGTTTCTCAGACCCTTTCTCTACTAGGCTCTCTAAACTAAGCTCTAATGCTCTAGAGAGGTGGTTCTCAAGACCTCTTTACACTCTTAAACATTATTTTGAGGATCCAGAAGAAAAAATATTGGCTTAATAGAAAATGTGGATTTTCATATCTACTTTTGTGTTCCATCTATTGTGATACGTTGTTTTGGTTAAGTTGTAGGAAGGAAATCTGTCCTCATTTAGATATGTAGTTGGAAAAAGGGGTATTTTCATAACTTTTTCACATAATTGTGTATATTCTTTAATACCACACCATAACTTGGCAGTTTTAATTAATTAAGAAATCAAGGGTTAAAATAGTGGAATCTGAAACCTCAGAAGTGAACTTTCAGTAGTATATTGCATTAAAACCCATTGGTCTGTCCTCACCTTGAATGTATCATTTACCCATGCATGTTTTTCTAGCATATCATAAATTGATCATTTAGAGATTCTTCACTGAATAATGTATATCTTCCAAATCTTGATGTTTCATTATACAATATAAAAAAATTACAATATCACCACTGATCTCATCAAAAAAATCTTCACATATTAGGAAGCTGTGATGCTTATGGTAGTGGATACAAGTTTTCACAGATTTTGATACTTGCTGGAAAGCTCAAATTTTCTCATTGTCAAAAAGTACTCTCAGGAAATCTTCTGCATCCGTGGATGTCTTGCTGCCCTTGTCTAGCCTGGATTAACACTTAGTCCATAGGCACACACCTGATCATCTGATCATCTACATTTGCCCTCTTAACAGCACTAAACTATGTTTTCTACCTTTATGTTGCATCTACCTACCACTTCAGCATTTTATTAAAAATAAAAATAATAATAATAGAGGGAGAAATGTGGGATCAACATATAAATCAAGTACAAAAATCAAACGAATATTCATATTTGACCTGATTGTTTATAGGTCATAATGCGGGATCAAAACCGAAAGTTTCTGTGATGAATGCCCTTGTACTGTTCACCATGTAAGAATTTATTCACTATGTAAGAATTCGTTCACCATGTAAGAACTTGTTCGTTATGCTTCAGAAGATTGGAGACTGACGAGAATTAGGCTTGAGATGGATTAATGATTGTACATTGAGCATTGACCCCCCTATACTGAATTTTATTGTTGTTAACAACCATTTGATCAATAAATATGAGAGATGCCCTCTCAAAAAAAAAAAAATAAAATAAAATAAAATAAAACAAATGTAATTAAGTTATGATCTTTTATTTAGCTTGACTTGTATATTAAATAATGTAATACATTCATCTTCAAATTAATCCCTGACTTTTAATTTGTATTTTAAGTAATATGAAAATGTTAAATATTAAATCCCTGTATAATATTATTTTATTTCTGATGATATATGCAATAGTTGACCCATAAACAATGTGGGGATTAGGGGTGTTGACTCCCAACATATTCCCATATAACTTTTCACTCCCCAAAAACTTAACTACTAAAAGCATACTGCTGACTGGCAGCCTTACTAACAACAGAAACAGATATTCACACATATTCTGTATGTTGTATAAATTATATACTGTATTCTTATAATAAAGAAAGCTAGGAAAAAAAAAAATACTCTCAGTTGTTTTCCAAGTGACAGGCTCACTCGATCATTTTTGAGAAAATGTATTCCAAATACTTAGGACTAGTTATGTGCCATTCTTGGAGAATTGAGAAAATACTCAGAACGTTTTTTGTGTGTTTTGTGGTTCAAATAAACAACCCTGATTGGTCTAGTATATTTTAGTAGGTATTTGAATGCTTTTTGGTGATGAATTTTAGATGCATGTCAAATGATAGAAGCAATTAAGTAATAAAACTTCATTTGATTTACGTTCTTCAGAAATAATGGGAGGAATTGCATAGTCCTGGAATTTAGTTATGTCTGTAGCATGGACACTGTTGCTAAAAACTGGGTTTCTCTCCCAGAGGAGGTTGTTTCTTGTCTTACTGTCTCTTGTGTTAAAACTGAGGTTAGTATCTTCTAATTCCCCTCAGACTATCCCAGACCTTTGTTTTATTAATGTCTTTCAACAGCCACTTTTTCCTCAGAGCTCATACCCATTCTTCTGAAAGCCATCTCACATATTAACTTCAAGAGAACTGTTTTTAAACAAATTTAGTTATTTTAGTGTTCCTCTTCAGCCTTCATCAACTTCGAAAACTCTGTTATCTCTTTTGATTAGCATAGAATTCTGCAGTTGTCTTTTGAGATTCTGATAGGTAGAAATAAGGTTTAATTTTTATTTTCTTTTATTGAGATGTACTTGGCATATAACATTCTTATTTGTTTTAAAGAAAAGAAAGTTCTTAGCTGCTTAAGATATATTTGTTAAGCTTCACTCTTTATAATTTGTATTATAAAAATTTAAGAAATTTTTAGAATTATTATATCTAAAGATTTTTCAAGTAGTATCTTTCCTTCCCTCACATTTTAAAATCAATTTCTCATCCTATCATTGTTCTTAGCAATTTCACCACCCGTGTTAGCTTTTTTGACACCCTACCTTCATATTTCTTCAGTTCTTGATGTCCTTCATCTCTTTTACAGATCTTTTGGCCAGCCATGTAGCACTTGAAATTCTCTATCCTCTCTGACCTTTACATTATGCAATTTCTTTCATTACTAACCACTGTTTCAGTTTGAAAGCATGAAATAGAACTATTGCCAGGGCTGGAAAAGCTGGCATCCTATACAGGCAGTTAGAGAGTAACAAGATGGCAGTGTCTCTTGATTCTGGGCCAGAGTAGTATTCCCCTTTCCCTGGTAATAAATTTAAATGATTATGTTGAAATTCTATATATCAAATTAGGGTTTAAAATGTTCTCATAAGTTTGAATGTTGAAAATACTCTGAATTCAGTTTCTGCAAAAGAGGTTAAATAATATGTAAGTCATAGGGAACACAACTTATCAAGCATTTTGTTTATTCTCACAGTGTCTTGTGTTTGCGCTATAAAGAAAATTACCTGTCTAAAACAAAAGTACCCAGTTTTAGAAAAATTCTTTCTGTTGTATACCATTAAACATTTGCTTGTAGCAAGTTTAGTGGAAATGTCTCATTTTTCTGGATAGAAAATTCTGGATAGAATTTAATGTTTTGATAATCTATTTATTAGAATGTTATTTACAAGTCTGATATGCAGAACACAGGGTTTAGATTTTCCCTATTTTTTGCCTTTCCTATACAGCCTTAAAAAAGAGGATAACTTACCATTTTTTCATTATAGTTTTCTTCAAGAATGAATAGAAAAGAATAAAATACTTCTTACTGGGCCTAATGGGCATTGGATTCTGTAGTCATTCATTATTTTGTTGTAAATGAGGTTATTGTTGCTTGCTAATTTTTTTTCTGAGATAAATATTTTCATTTGATCATGATTCCTAATGGCTTAATATTGTTGAAAGTGCAAAACACATAGTTTGAATTTTCTTAAGATTTAAAATTTTTTAGTTTTTAAACTTTTAATTTTATTGCAGAAATAAGAATCAGGCTCTACAATGACAACCTATTTGGAATTCATCCAACAAAATGAAGAACGAGATGGAGTCCGATTTAGTTGGAATGTTTGGCCATCAAGTCGACTAGAAGCTACGAGGATGGTTGTTCCAGTAGCAGCCCTATTTACACCACTGAAGGAGAGACCTGATTTACCACCTATTCAATATGAACCTGTTCTGTGTAGTAGGACCACTTGTCGTGCAGTTTTGAATCCTTTATGGTAAGTAAAATATATGGAAAAAATGAATGTGGCCATATGACTAAAAAATGTAGTTTCTTATTTATATAAAAATGTCTGTTTTTGTTTATAGCTATTTTTTAAAATTAGGATAGTCAAATCCAAAAAGCCATACATTTTAGGATCATTTTAGATATAAAGAGTTGATAAATGTAAAATTGTCACAGTATAAACTGTTAGATTCTATCACTATTTTCCAGATACTGGTGTTGGCTGTGTATCCATTTTGTGTCATTAGAAAAGTCATAATTAAGTGGTGTGGTAGCTTAAAAATGTTATGATTTCTTCTTGCATAAGCCAGAATCTCAAGAATTATCTTTTATTCCTCTTTCTGTTCCCTGTCTCCTCAGCCAGTCCACTAGCAAATCTGGTTAGTTCTACCTCCAGAGCATGACTGGTATCTCTCATATTCAATCTCTTCTAGTTTACTCTACTTCAAGATACACAGTCTTTTTTCTGGGCACTTTGATTATCTTTCTAACTGGTCTCCCTGTTTCCATTCTTGTCTTTCAATAGTCTATTCTCTACCCAGAATTCAGTTTTACAAATGGATATCAGATTATTAAAGTCCTTTAATAGTTTCTTCATATACTTGAAATGAAAAATGCAAACCACTTACTAAGACCTATAAAGTCCTACATGATCTAGCCTCTGTATACATCTGCTTTCATTTGTATCATCAACTTTCCTTATTGTCATCTACATTATGCCTCATCTTTCTGATCCTTGAATATACCAGACTTACTTGTACTTTGGTACTTGCACAATAGCTGTACATTCTGCCTGCTCTGCCCCAGATGTTCCTGTGACTGGTTCCTTTTCATTTAGATCACATTTCAATTGTTTATTTAAGAAGGTCTTCCTTTAAAGTAGCCCTCCCAAACATATTCTCACATCCTGCTTTGTTATCTTTATTATCTTTATTATCCCTGTCTAAAAGTATCTTCTATGTTTTGCATCTACTTGTCTATTGTCTTTTTTTCTAGAGCATAAGGTCCATGTTAGCAGGGACCTTTGCACTCTTGTTTACTGCTGTATCACTGCCAACTAGAATAATGGCTGGTACATATTAAGCCTTAGTAAATATAGTTCTGAATTGAATAAATTTTGTCTAGATCTGAGTGTAGGAATTATTAAGTCATTTGAAGAAACAAAAAGAATTATGTTAGTTTTATTGTTGATATTTGCTGTATATTAAAAGTTACAATTATTCATTTAGATTAATTTGTATATTTTAAGAGGATGAATTAGATATTGGCAACATCTAAAAATAGTTGGCTTTCAAAGATCACTTTAATTATTAATTCGATATATTCATGTTTTAGAAAGAAATTTTATTAAAATTAGGATCATTGTATAATTGAACTAAAATTAAAACATGAGCTATTGTATCTTTTCTTGAAACAGTCAAGTGGATTATCGTGCAAAACTCTGGGCTTGCAACTTTTGTTATCAAAGGAATCAGGTAAGAAAATCCCCAGTGCAGATATTAATGCTATAACACTGGTTTAAATATGCAGAGAAATGTTTATTTAAAAAAAAGTGAAATAATTTTTATATGAAAATATCTATTTTTAAATAAGTAAATGATTAGGGAATAATTATTTTCACTTTAAAATTTTATTACTCTTTCTGACAAATAACTTGTTAAAAATGTTTGTTTTTTTTCTTTCTGTAGTTTCCACCTACTTATGCTGGTATATCTGAACTGAATCAACCTGCTGAACTTTTACCTCAGTTTTCTAGTATTGAATATGTGGTTCTGGTAAGAACATAAAAATAAATCTTTAAGCAAGTTTTAAATATCTGGTAATTTACTTTATACCAAAATAATTGACTTAAAAAGCATCATTCTTGATTCTCACATTGAATTGATGGAGCACTTCAAAGGTAAGAGCTGTCCAGGTCAATTTGAGCAAGGTAATGTTGTAGTGACATGATGGGTGGCTAGGATATTGGGTTGGGGTTGTGTGATATGTTCTACTGAGTAGATCAGTAAGCAGTAAAGTATCATTCTTGTTTTGTAGTTGGAAGATCAGTTCACAAATACTTGGTCAGTATGATGCTGAAACCTGATGGTATATCCCCAAGTCTAATTAATGAAATTACTCTTGCACTGATCTTTGTTATAAAAGTAATTATCCTCCCTTTCTGAATAGCTTTACATAGTTGTTTATATATTTAAATGTTAAAATAATAGTATCCTTTATGAATGTTGTAGAGAAAGCACAATATAGGTTATTGAGATAGTCATTAATTTGTCCAATCTGGCTAGTTTCCTGTTGTTTTTATAATCCAATTTAGATTTAGATATTTTATAAAAATACCTAATTTTGTTTTTAAGCTCTATAGTTATTTTCTTATTTTAAAAGAAATAACTTGTTATAAGAAATGAAATCTCATGCAGTTAAATAAATCAACAGTGAAAGTCTCTATGTAACTATAATGTTTGTAAACTTAATTTTTCATTTGTTATTTGCTGGACAGCTCTACATGCATTTATTATCTGTTTCATTTTTGAAATGGCTTTATTAGGATTCCATTGAATGTGCTGTAAATTAGTCTTCTGTTGATATCTTGTATGTTGTGCTGAAGTATTAATACATTTGAAATAACATGTTTTCTTATTATTACAACATTTTTTTTTTAAAGCGTGGTCCTCAGATGCCTTTGATATTCCTCTATGTGGTTGATACTTGCATGGAAGATGAAGATTTGCAAGCCCTGAAAGAATCTATGCAGATGTCATTAAGTCTTTTACCACCTACAGCTTTAGTGGGCCTTATTACTTTTGGGAGAATGGTGCAGGTTCATGAACTTGGATGTGAGGGTATTTCAAAAAGCTATGTCTTCAGAGGAACAAAAGATCTGTCCGCCAAACAGCTTCAAGTAAGCAGCAAGAATTTGTATTTCAGCCTGAGTGCCATTCTATTTATGTCTATAAATGACTTCTGGATATAAGTTTCTAGAAAATATTCTCATTATGAATTATTCGATATAATTGTATTACAGCAAAAGCTTTAAATGTAGTGTTTAAATTTAGTGTTAAATTACAACAAAAGCTTTAAGTTTTGGTTTAATTTGTCTTAAATTGTTTTACAAATTAAAGACTACTCATTTTTAAAGTTTAGAGTGAAAACGAAGTATTTTATTAGAGATTTGAAGGTCTGATAAAGGAGTCATACTGAAGACAGAAAGCAACCATAGAATATTTGCTTTTGTTTCTTGACATCTCACTTAGGAACTAAAGGGGTAGATCTTTTAAGGCTTGAGAGTAACTAATAATGAACTGAGTATATATTTTTCACATTTTTATCTTTGGGGTCTATTGAAGCTTTGTTTTCCAAAGCACAGGAGTCACGTGTAGCTTACTGGGATCACCTGGGGATATTTTTCAAAATGTTTTTTCTGCCCAGAGATTTTTGATAGACCATGAGAAGAGCAAGTGAATATGTGCTTGGATTGGGAAGTGGTTAGAAGGGTAAAATTGTTCATGTAAGTATTTTGAAAAACTTTCTAAGTGATTATGATACAACCCCCAGTTGGGAACAGTTAACCTAGAAGATGATAGATAAGTCTGGCGTAAGGTAAACCAAATGAAATCAGATTTTGGGTGTATCTAGGCAGCCCAAAGTGAAAACAAAGATTGTGGGATGATTCTAATTTGAAGCTGGGCAGACTGGGCTGGTGCTCCCTTTAACCAAGATAGAATACACTGGAGGGATTTGCAGGTTTGGATGGGGAGGTGAGTGAAAAGTGAGTAAGACAGTGAATGAGCAGCGAATGAGATCTAAGGAAGTGGAGAAAAATCAGTCTGTGTTCTTCCCAGAGGTCTGTTGTTGAAGTTAAAGGAGGCAATAATGTGGGAGTTAGAAGGAAGTGGGTTAGAGGGTTTACTTAAGCTTACTTGAATGCTTTTATACACAGAAGTGAGAGAGACTATAAAAGAGTTTGAGTGAAAGCAAGAGTGAGATGAGAGTGAGTTTGTAGAAGACATGATAGGAGCACCGGAAGCAGAGTGCTTCTGAGAGGAGGATCGTGTGTTTCCATGAGACAGGAGAGAAAGTGAGGAGATTTTAATCTCATGCTGTAATTTTTTCATCTAAACAAAGGGAGATATTAATAGTATCTACCTTACAAGGTAGTCATGGAAATTAAATGGGTTGTACCCTTAAGTATTTGCTTTCATTATTTTTAAATTGTACGTTTATTTAAAGTGGTTTAGTGTTAGTTCTGATTTTAGAGTGCATTTTTACTTAAATCATGTCAAACATATGTAACACATAAAACATCTGCCTTTTTGCAATAGACGGTGAATGTTTACAGGCTAAATTAGTTTTCTCTCTTACAATGTTTTTATCTTCCATCTTTATTCGTATGGTATAAAGAGCCTGGTCTTTGCTCTCCAGTTAGTCCTGTATTCAAATCTTAAACTCTCTGGTTGTGTGATCTTGGGTTGATCTCTATGCTTGTTTTCTCCATCTCTGTGGAAAGGAATAAACAGTAACTATTTTGCAAATTTATTATTAGCACTAAATGAAATAATGTAAGTGGGAACACTCAGTGTAGTATGGATTTATGGGGCTTTGTGGTAAAACCTGGATTAATATCTTGCCTTGCCACTTGCTAGTTGAATAATGTTATGCAAGTTACTTAGCTTTTCTGAATGGCAGTTTCATTTGTAAAACAGGGAGTGAGAAATCTATTTCATTATTATTTTATGAGGAAAAAGTATATATAAAGAGTTGAGCACAAAATCTGGCACATAGTAAGTCCTCGGTGAAAAGTTGCTGTTTTGCCAGCAGAATAGGAAGTACTGCAGGATTAGTTCAGTAATTCTTTCTTTGCAAGTCTTTAGACTTCATTTTCTGTTAAATCCTTTTAGTCTGTTACTTCATGACTAAGCATTTATATATTCAAGAAACTTTTAGTAAAATAACATTATTTTCATGAGTCTGGAGAGGAAATATGCACACATCTAAAATTCAAAGCAAAACTAACAGTTTGGTTAGTCATGAAGTATCGACATTTAATAAGTATAGACATACAAAGGTGCGTGTGCCTTAGAACCCCCCTTTATACAGTTTCATGTACCTCTCTTTTATAACATTACAGTTGTGGTTTTATACTTATTTAACTAATGATTTAATTCCTGTCTGTTTCACCAGATTTAAATTTCCAGAAGGTCAGGGACTGTATATTTTTTCATATATATTATAATTTCATATTATGTTATATGTATATTTTTCATATATTATTAGTTACCTGGCACATAGGTTCTTGAGATAGAGCTGCTGAAGGGATAAATGAATACAAGTTAAGTAATATAGACATTCAAGTTAACACAGTATCTTATTTTGACTATTAAAGTATTTCTGAGCTAGTATCCCTCATTTTTGCTCACATAGCACCTTGTACTTTGCTGTCTTATGATAATTATTTCATTATATTATCATTTACTTTTTTATATTACAACATTATATTACAACTAATCAGAGTTGATAATCCCCCAGCTGGGCCTTTTGCTTTCTGAGGAAAGAGACTTGTGTTCTTTATTTTTGTGTTTCTAATGCTGAGTAGCACTTTGCACATGCTAAATAGTTGATACATCTTTCTAGGAGTAATTAAATGGATATCACAGAAATAATCTCTTTACAGGAAATGCTGGGGCTCTCTAAAGTACCTGTTACTCAAGCAACACGTGGTCCTCAGGTACAGCAGCCACCTCCTTCCAATAGGTAATAATTACATATGATAAAGAGAACTTTACAATTCATACAGCTATTTTAAGCATCCTATACCCTTAACATGAACATAGACATTTGGTGATACTATACTGTTAAGTATTTTTAGGAATGTAGAGAGATTTGCATTAGAATACTTTCTGACTTGAGGCAGAATCATATCACTTAAAGGGTTCGTTTCTCATCTTTACAGTGTAAAGAGTACTTTAGTTTTGATATATTCCTAATTTTCTATCTTTCAGTTCAGAAAAACTTAACTTTTGTGGCTGAGAGCAGCCAAGCTAAAAAATAGGGTCTCAGAAGCTCCTCCTTTCACCTTCTTAGCCTTAGAGGTAGCTTTTTCTCTAAACTTACTAATCAGAGTTGGTATTACTAAAATTGAGTTGATGTATCATCTCATAATTATTTCAGTAACCTTAAAACTTACTAGATTGGTAAATGAAAGATGCTATCCTAAAGTAATACTCAGTTTGAGTGTTTCATTTATAGCAGTTATACTCAAAGTGTGGTTCCTGGACCAGCAGACAGCATCACCTGGGAACTTGTTTGAAAAACCAGTTCTTGGGCCCCACTTCAGACCTACTGAAACAAAACTCTAGAGCCAGCAATCTATGTTAAAACAAGCCCTCCCACCAATTCTGATGTATATAAAAGTGAGAACCATTGGTCTACTATGTATTCAAATTGTTTTTCTCTATGTTCTCTGAGAAAGTAGACTGTTTGTTAAACCATTACTTGCAAACATTTATAAATGGCTTCTAACTTAATTTTGCTTTGTAGATTCTTGCAGCCAGTACAGAAAATAGACATGAATCTCACAGATCTGCTGGGAGAACTGCAGCGAGACCCTTGGCCTGTACCACAGGGAAAGAGACCTTTGCGTTCCTCTGGGGTGGCACTTTCCATAGCTGTAGGACTCCTTGAGGTAGTGCCAATAGCTTTATTTTGGATTATAAATGTGTATGTGTGTGTACGGATTGATACATACATGAGAGTGTTGAATGAGAAAATCAGGTCACAGGGCAGCAAGTATGTCATTTTATTTGAAGTCTGATCTGTGGTATATCCTTTTGTATGTAGAGAGGCTCTGGAACAGTGTTCACCCAAATGTTAGCAATGGTAGGATAAACAGAATTTTACTTTTAAGGAGAATTAAAAAATTTAACACATCTCTTAGCTTTAGAATTAGAAAAGAGAATTCTTTAAAAAAAAGATTTAAAAAAATGTTAAATGTTAATGTTTACAGAAAAGTTGCAAAGAACTTTTTTCCATGAGCTATTTGAGATTTAAGTTGCTAACATGATGTTCCAACCTCTTGAATACTTTAGTTGTGTTTCCTACAAACCAGGATAATCTCCCATATAATGATAATACAAATATTAAAATCAGAATATTAACCTTGATACAATACTACCATCTAAGTCTCAGACCTTATTCAAGTTCTACCAATTATCCCAGTAGTTTCTTTATGCATTCAGTGGTTTTATGTGCTTGGTCTCCTTCAGTCTAGAACAGTTCCTCCACCTTTCCTTGACTTTCATGACTTTGATACTTTGAAAGATTCAGGCCATTTATTTTATAGGATGTCTCTCAAGTTAGGTTTGTGTTGATGTATGCTTACAATGAGACTCAGGTTTTGTATTGTTGGCAGGAATATCACAAAGTAATGCTATGTTCTCATTGCATCTTGTCCGATGGGACATGATTTTCATGTGCTCCATTACTATTGATCATCATTTTGATCACACATTAAGGTTGTGTCTGTCAGGTGTCTCCATTGTAAAATTACTCCTGTTTCCTGTCCCTTTGTAATTAATAAACATTAGAAAGGAAGACTCTTTGAAACCATGCAAATATCCCATTCTTCATGGAACATTCAATTATTTATTAATTCACTATAGACTCATCATTGCCTATCTTACACAATCTGTTACTATCTTTTTTTTCAACTTTCTAATTTGATGTAACTCCAAAATAGGGCATTATATGAAGTGTTGAAAGAATTCTCTTATACCTTTCATCTAGATTCCTCAAATGTTAACATTTTATTACATTTGCTTTATCCTCTCCATATTTACATAAATCTATTTATATATCATACACATAAATTTTACAAAAACATTTGAGACTTGGTCACAAATGTGATGTCCCTTTATTTCTAAATACTTCAGTGTGAATTTCTTGATTAAATAAAAAACTGTATTTCAATTAGTCAAGAAATTAACAATGATATAATACTATTTTCTAATCTGTAAACTTGATTCAGATTTCATCAGCTACTGCAATAATACTTTTTACTGCATAAGAAAATCCTCGATCATGCATTGCATTTTCTTCAGTGTCCTTCAATCTGCACTAGTTCCTCAGTTTTTCTTTGTGTTTCCTGACAGTGATATATTTTTAAGAGTATAGCTAAATTTTTTGGTAGAATGACTCTGAATTTGGGTTTACCTGATCTTTCCTTTTATGTAGATTTAGGTCATGCACTTCTGGCAGGAATATGTATTACAGAATTGATTTGTGTTCTGCTTAGTGTAACTTACGGGGAAGCCTATAATGTCTGTTTGGTTTATTACCACTGATGTTAGTTAGCTTTGATCACTGGTAAAGTGGCTAAGGTTCTGTCAGGTTTCTTTACATTTTTTTTCCCACTGTGAGTGTTTTAAAGGGAGATACCCTGTGTACTCTCAAACTTTTACCTGCTCGCTTTAACATCCATTCATGATTCTTGCTTGATGAATTATTATTGTAATGGGTGCCAAATAATGACTTTCTAATTCTATCATTTCTTCTTCACTTATTAGCTGGCTTTCTTCTTGAGGAAGAGCTTTCCCTTCTCCCCCATTTATATATTTATATTACTGTGGGTTCTTGGATGCTTATCATGTGCAATGGGTTATATTCTTTAATTATCATTATTTATTTGATACTCTGGTTGTCCCAGATTTGGCCAGTGGGAGGCCCTTAAACTGGCTTCTGGATCTTTATTATATGTCCATATCATTGTTTGAATATTTCCTTGCTTTCTAGTACAATGAGATGTTCAAGACATGTCTTGCACACTCCCTGCCTTGATTCTGTTAGCCTTTGTTCCACCAAGCAGATCTAGATGCTTCTTGTGCTCATTGTTACTGGAATATCATTTTCTTGCTCTTGCTCTATCATATCTAGCTTCTAGATCTTAGTGGATGGAGTTAAAAGATATATGTGCATATATATGTACATATCTATAAATGTATGTACATATACACATTCATATAAGTATGTGCACATAGGTACATGTACATCTGTATACTCCTGCATACATCTATGTATATATCTATCAAAACCACAAAACACTATATATTAAAAGCTAAGAGTTCTTTCAGGTATGCCTAATTTCAGTTCAATAACAGGGTTTATTCTATTCTTCCCATTTTCCGTATTTGTAACTCCTTTCTCTGACCATGAGAAACTGGGTCCCATTATTCAAATATAGTTTCTTATTTGCTCAGTGCTAGAATACACATAGAATAGTTTCAGAATTTCTAGCTCATATCTCTGTGAAAAAGAAGCTGAGGTGTTAGAGTTCAATATTTGTTCAACATTCTGAGAATAAATATAGAAAAAATATACAGTATTCAGAAGTGAACTGGGTTGGTTATCCACACCCTCCACCCCCTTGTGTGGTTATGTTTTTCATTTGCTATATGTTCCACTAATTTCTTTTTAAAAAATCCTATTCTTGCTTTGGATGTGTGTGTACATGTAGTGAAACATTAACATCATTCCAAATTAGAGTTATAAAAAAAGATACACTCAGAGCAGTGACATTCCCACCCAGTCCCTTTATTGGATGAAATTTGTCATCTAGTAAATTTCTTAAGACAACTTAAGAGTGCAGAATTTCCTAATCTGTTGAATTTTTATAAATTATTTTTCTGAAGGACAGCTTGGTTGAATATAAAAAGCCTTGGTTCTCACTTCTTTCCTAGAGTTTTTTAAAAATGCTGCTCCATTGTTCTCTTGCTTTGAGGTTTTTGAGAAGGCTGATGCCAGTCTAAATCTCTTGCCTTTCTGAATTATTTGATCCTTTTGCTTAGAGGTCTTGAGGAATTTTTCTTTGTCTCTAGAATCGAATAGTGAAATGTCTTATGGTTTAGTTTTCTCTAGTGCCTGGTGATCCCTCACAGGTCTTTTGTTTCCATAAAGTTTTCTTGGATTATGGTTTTAAGTTTTGGTTCATTGTTTTGTTTATCATCGTTAGGAACTCCAATTACACATAAATTGGATCTTTGCTTGTTTTCCATTTCAATCACTATCAGTGATCTCTTTTACTTTCTTTCATTTTCATTCTTTTGGTTACTTTCTTGCTTTTCTTCAGGGCTCCTTTTAAATTTTCATTTGAATCTGGCAGTTGTTAGTTTCTCTCTTGCTCCATTTCCTTCTCCCTGAACTGCTCTTGCTGTGTGGAAGCTCACATGGGAGATAGCTCACTGGGATTCCCTTTTTTTTTTAACTTATAAGTAATTTGAAGTCTGGGTGTTCTTTGTGTTCTAGTTGAGAAGGTGTGTGTTTTGCATACTTCTGTATGTTCTTCTTCATCAGTATTTTGGCTTTACATGACTGCTATTATCTCAGATACCCAGTATGAAAAGAGTATTTTTATTTGTTCATCAAACTAGTTTAAGAAAGTTGTAGAAACAATTATACCTCATAAAAACATTCAAACAATATTCAAGGATGTATAAAAATGTAAAGTAAAAGGCAGCTCTTCTTGGCTCTAGCCCAGATTTGTTGATCATGCAGTTTTAAAATTTATATCAACATTTATATCATTTGCTTTCTGAAGCTATAATGTGGCTTGAAAAATGCACTCTGTATTTTGTCTAGTAAGTGCTTATAGAAATTACAAATTAAAACATTTCTAGAGTAGAGTGGTTATACACATAGTAAAGGAAATGGAAGTCCTCTGTTACTGTAGATGGAGAAACATGTATCAAAGTCTTAGGATGCCCTTTTGTTTTTTAGATTCCCTTATTTTCTTTGCATTGTCCTCAGTTTTTCTTTTGTTTCCTACAAATTTTGTGAGTTCTTGCATATCTAAAGTTTTTTTATTTTCCCTTTCATTTCATTTGTACTTCAGATGACTATAGAACTTTAGGTTCAAAATAATCTTCAGTAGGATCTTTGATCTTTGAGCCATTCTGCTCTAGGATTTTAACAGATCATTGATAATTTCATGCAGTCTCATTATTATTTCTTTTTGGGAAACTTACTTTTCCCACCAAACATTTTTTTTTTGCAGCTGGCACACCACTGCATGTTTCACAGTGTTTTTATTTTAAAAACTCATTTAATCTAATAACAGAATGTCTGCAGTACTTTTTCCACAGAGTGCACAGAAGCACGGGACAAAGCAAATGAAATAGGGTTAAGACCTATTAGATGAATAAAAGAACAATAATCATGATGTATAATCCATTTAAAAAAGTTTCCACCAAAAAGATCCTGCACTGTTCATATAACATTTTTTTGTCAACATAATAATATATATTTTCCAAAATAGAACATACATGTCTCAGCTTTAGCTATATAATGAACAATAACATGGTTTAAAATTTTAATCTGATTTAACATATAGTTAACATTAAAGCAATGATACATATTTCACTCAACTCTGGACATTTCGGTCATTTCTTAAAACTCCATTGAAACTCTTAAAAATTTCATTTACAGTAACAGAGTAAGATCTTAAAAAAGCAAAGTTTTTGCAGTAAAAATTTTAAATTGATGTTGTGAACTATAAGGCTAAAAAGGCCCCTAAAATATTCATAAAGCTGTATTTATATTAACTGCTTTCCTAAGATGCTGAATTGTTTAGTTAAAAGGTAGGTCTCCTTGAAGTAATGTAGGAAATCTTATCAGTAATTTTACTGAGTGGTGGGCAACTACATTTAGATGTTACTATTTCATTTTCCATTCAGCGACTGTAATATTTCACCAATATTTTCTTTAGTGCTAAACAACTAGATTTGATTTAAAATTGGAAACACATATTTGAGATAAATACTAATGGATTCAACTTGTTGGCTAAGCTTTGAAGTCAGATCTTTTTTTTTTTTTTTTGAGAGGGCATCTCTCATATTTATTGATCAAATGGTTGTTAACAACAATAAAATTCTGTATAGGGGGTCAATGCTCAATGTACAATCATTAATCCATCTCAAGCCTAATTCTCGTCAGTCTCCAATCTTCTGAAGCATAACGAACAAGTTCTTACATGGTGAACGAATTCTTACACAGTGAATAAATTCTTACATGGTGAACAGTACAAGGGCAGTCACCACAGAAACTTTCGGTTTTGATCACACATCATGAACTATAAACAATCAGGTCAAATATGAATATTCGTTTGATTTTTATACTTGATTTATATGTTGATCCCACATTTCTCCCTTTATTATTATTATTATTTTTATTTTTTAATAAAATGCTGAAGACCCACCAAACATTTTTGTAATTTAATCTTAGTGTTCTGAAATTTCATTAGGCTGTGTTGAGGTTAGAGTCTTTCTTCATTAGTTATGTTTTGTTCTTGGTAGGCCCTTTCATATTGAAGGCCCCTATCATTCTTCAGCTAATTTTGTATTATTTTCTTTTGTATTCAGTGCTCATTAAATTGATGCTGGACCTCTGTATTTCTTTATATCTTCATTTTTTCCCTCATATTTTCCTTCTTTATTCCTGTTTCTGGGAGAGTTCCTCAGTATTTCATTTTCCATATCTCTAATGTGGTCTGCAGACATGCTTTTCAGCCCGTTCATTGAGGCGTTTTATTTCTGCAGTGATTTTAATTCCAGGGTCTTCTGAGGGCTGTCATCTGTTGTACTGTCCATTGTAAAATGTGCTCTGTTCTTTATTGTTCAAACCCCAGTTTCCATGTGAAGAACCTTCACTGGGCAAATGCCTGCTTTCCTCAGAGAGCAGTTCCCAGGAATTGCTGGTGGCGAGGTTTGGGTAATTAGTGGTCATTTCTGGAGTTGACTGCACTTCTTTGGTTCATTGCTGCTTTTTGGGTTTTTTAATTCTACTTACAGAGTTTTAAGATACTGTGGGAAGACCTGGCTTACTTATTTTTGGTATCTAGACTTTGTTTTTCTTTTTCCTCATTTGTCAATCTAGTCTAATTTGTTGTTTGGATTCCTCAAGATTTCTGGTCTGCTGATGGAACTTTTTCTTATTTTTTATTTATTTGCTTATTTCTAAACAATACCATTTTTCTTATTTCAGTGGTATCCTGGGAGGAAGGGGATTGAAGTTACCAACTTGAACTAGAAATAGGCCATGCTTATGTTTTAAACATAGAAAACAAAAATGAAACAACAGCTGCAGCTAAACAGAAGATAGGCAAAGAGGAAGAACTCTGTCTATTCCTTGCAGTTTAGGACTAAACAGGAAAACACTTTTGCTTATAGGAATCAAGATTACAGATTACTTTGAGGTTAAGAAGACACTATTATTTAGAATAGAATTTCAAAAGAAAGGTATTCAAACACCTTGTTTTTAAATTTCATTTTAAACATTTGACCTTTTTATTTCTTAGAAAATGTATATTTTCCTGTTTTCTAGTAAGGGTTGTCAAAAGTCATTATCAGAAACAGATATCCATATGTTTTCCTTTAAATTCTTTTGATGAGTTACTTTTTTCTGATAGTGTACTTTTCCCAACACTGGTGCTCGTATCATGATGTTCATTGGTGGTCCAGCCACCCAGGGGCCTGGAATGGTGGTTGGAGATGAATTGAAGACACCTATAAGATCATGGCATGACATTGAAAAAGACAATGCCAAATATGTTAAAAAGGGAACTAAGGTAATTTTGCTTTTTATGTCTTTTTGCCTTATTAGAAAAAATCCATTTTATGGAAGAGGAAGGATACAGATATTTTATAATAAGAAATCTTACAGTGTGAAATCTGATATGGTAACTGCCATTCAGAATTGGAGAAATAGTCTCTTTTTTTTTACTGATAATTTAAGTTGTAATATTTTTGGGTTTAATATTTAAAAACTTAATAGTAGGCACCAATATGTATCTCTTCGAAGATTACTCCTTAGAGAAATCCTGTGTGTCTTTTTTAATATTCATGTTGAGGGATGTCTTTCCCTTCAGGAGTAATTTCTTGCATTTTCCAGTTTTTTATTTCCAGGAGGCTTTCCTTTGAATATGTATATTGTTCACAGTTTGAGTAGTCCACTATTTTCCATAAGTTGTGTTCAGTCATGTAACCTCATTTGAGTTTGTGCTAGTCTTTTATTGGCGCTTCTTGACTCCCTGATATTGTTTCTGTTTGTTAACTTCCCTTTTTAAAAACCCCTTTAGAATTCACAATTTTAGTTTACTTGTGCTGTATTATGTCATATTTCTTTTTGGCAGTCACTATATTTTAAAAGTGTAATTAATAACAAATAACCTTTGTCAATACTAATGGATGTTTTATTCCTGCCACCTAATTCCCTTTTTAGCTTGGAATTTTTCTTAGGGTTCTAAAGAATATTGTGTATTTGTTTATCTTCTGTTTTCATTTCTGTCTCTCTGGCTTTGTTATTGTGGTGTAGCTTTAGCCAGGAAGGAGTTCTGTAGTTTATGCACAGAGAGTAACATGTTCAGTATACCTTTCTTCAAGTTTAGTTTAATTTAGGAATTTATCTAGAAAGAATGGCTTTTATAAAAGGGAAGAATGTCGTACTTGTAAAAGTTTTTTTATCATTTTATGAGATATAGAAAATTAAATTATAAAAATTACATTTAAATTATGGATTAATCTTTTAGCATTTCTTAGGTCATTTTGACCTATTAATGGGAAAAGATTTATAGCATGATTAAGTTTGTATATTACTTTGATTTGACTTAAAAAATATATTTTGTAGCATTTCGAAGCATTGGCAAATCGAGCTGCTACAACTGGTCATGTTATTGACATCTATGCATGTGCGTTAGATCAGACGGGTCTCCTGGAGATGAAGTGCTGTCCCAACCTTACTGGGTATGTTTTACATTTTTATGATTTTTGCAATGATAAACTAATAATGACAGTTTATAAATTTAAACCAATAATTATAGTTCAGGGAAAAAAATTTGAAATCTAAATATAAACTATTAGACTTCATATGTTAAATTGTCAAGACTTCTAGATGAAGGTCATTGTACAGAATTAACTATAGTTTATATACCAGTTATACATAAGTAGAAAACAAAATTTAAAAAGATACAATCTGAAACAGTGACTGCAATGAGGGGGTGAGGAATTGATAATTGATAATATGGGTAAGTGTTGAAACCATAATGTTCATAGGAAACCTTCGTAAGATTGTATGTCAGTGATACTGAATTAAAAAATAAATATATCTATAAGAGCATCAGAGATAGCATAAATTAAGACTTTAACGGGATCAAAAATAAAATTATCATTAATTAGTACTACATCAGTTTTATCCTTTTGCCTATTTTAATTTTTAATTACATTTTATTGGTGCTTAAAAACTACTGAAAATATTTTAAAAATTATGAGCAAATATATATGAATATTTGTATATATGTATATTAATGGGTGTATGTGTCTCCCTTCTTATACAAACAAAATTCTATATACCTTTCTCCATTTGGCATTTTTCAGTTATATTCTGGAAATTGGTCTATAGCAGCACATTACTCTATTGAGTGGGTGTTCCATTTTTTATTCAATTAGTCTTTATAGGTGGTCATCTGGATTATTTCCAGTCTTTAATTATTACAAATAGAACTAAATTAAATATCCTTTTGCATATATTCTGCTTATTGCTTTTGATTTGTCAGAACATCTTTAGGATAGGGGATAGATTCGTAATAGTGGAGTGGCTGGATTAAAGACAAAATACATATGTCATTTTGTTAGTTATTGTCAAGTTCCGCTGCATGGGGGTTGCATCTTTTCATTCTCATCAACAATGTATGACCATGCCTCTTTTTCCACAACCTTACCAACAGAATATGTTGTCAAACTGTGATTTTTGTTGAAGAAATGGTATTTCAGTATGGTTTTTATTAGACATTTAATATGTTTTAAAACTTAAAAACATTAAAAATAAGTACATGCTTACTGAAGAAAAGTACACACTACATATGTGCTTAAGGTGAAAACACTCGCTTAACATTCCTCTATTATCATTCACACGGGTGTAAGTTCGATGTGACACACACACAGATGTTATATGCGTGTATACCATACACACCTACATGTTTTTTAAGAATGAGAATGCACGGGTAACCTGCCAGTATCTTCACCAGTGTGGAGAACTGGGCGGTGGGGGTGGGTTCATACCTTTTGAATTTCATAATGTGTGGATATATTACTTATTTAAGAAAGAATTTAAAAAATTACTGGAGACAAGTGTTAGGGGCATGCCAGTGCCCTCAAGATTGAGATTATTTGCAGGGTGGGGATGGTCTTAAATATTTGAGTTTTTAAAATTAATGTTAATGTAGTTTATTTTGGAAAGCATCTTTAAAATTTGTTTGTAGTATTGAGAGGTAATTAATTTTTCTGGTTTAAACACATAGACCCAGTACTTGTGTCACGTACATTGTTCTTTGTCCTTCCCACACAGAGGATACATGGTAATGGGTGACTCTTTCAACACTTCCTTATTCAAGCAGACTTTTCAAAGAGTCTTTACCAAAGATATGCATGGACAGTTTAAAATGGGCTTTGGTGGTACATTAGAAATAAAGGTAAGAACTAAAAGTTGACATGTATTACTGGTATGTTATCAAGAGAGAAATTTGTAGGCTTGAGTATCATTTTAAAATACCATTATTCAGATTCATTTTATGCTTTAACAATAGTGGTTATTTTATATTGAAAACTAGAGTTAGAGATTTTGTTTCCCAGAAAAACGTGTCATCATTAAATGTACAATGAAATTTTACTGGAGCATTTCTGAATAGTTGTTAGAAAAGAAGATATTATAGAGGTAAAACTTCCGTTAACTATTTTTTATTTATATAAGCTTTAGCTTTTTAGCTTTTTTAGTGCTGTATTTGCTTACATTAGTGCTAGATTTTTTAATTGCAGGAATTGATACCTAACTTAAGAGAAACCTGTTCTATTCCATTTGGATAATCGATAATTGTTCTAAGGTTGGTAGGTTGTTGATATTATTGAGTCCCATCATTCATATCAAATTCAGATTTAAAAAACCCAAAGGCTTAGTGTTAGTTACAAGTGTATTTCAAGTATACTGATTTTGAATTTTCATTAAATATTTCTTGTTAATTTTGTCATTTTATTGAATGCTTTACATCCAACATTAAACTTGGAAATTGTAGAACTCTCAAGAGATATCTCTAAGGCACAAGTCTTATAAAGAAATAGTCTTGATGGAAAGACAAAATTAACACATGATAGAATGAAGTAACAGATTATAAAATTGCTATAAAGGTTTAAGGAAGAAAAATGAAAATATGCGTAACAGTTAATCCTTGAAGGTAAGTGGTTTTATAGTGACTTATAGTGGTTTTTGAAAGATAGGAGAATTTAAGTTGGTTAAGGAGAGTGCAGTTTACTCAGGAGCCCAGCGTGAGTAGAGGCATAGAGGTGGCAGTTAGCATGGTATGTTTGGGAAAACTGCCCAGTGAGAATAGATGGTTTGTATTGGAATGTAAGGGAATAGTTTAATTCTGTGGGTTGGTTTTAGTTTGGAGATGTATCTCTAGGCAGAAGAAGCCATTGTAGGTTAAGGAAGAATAGTGGTTTGGGTAAGATGTATCTGACAGTGATATTCAGGATTAGTCAGGAAAAAGAATCTTAAGAAAACTGAGTTAGGCTTTCTAATTTTTTTAGGTAGAAGGTACAAATAGCTTTAATTTTGGTGTCATTAGAGGTTGTAAAGAAACCAACTTGATGTCAGATTTTCTATGGGAGGAAAAACAGAAGATGGTGTATAAAGTTTTGGATTAGGACATACAAATTTTGGTTATGGTATTATTTTGAATTGAGGGTGAGGTTCCCAGATGCCCACCTGTGGGCAGCTGGAAATTGAGGATTTAAGTTAGGTTGAGGCTAGATTTTAAATTTGGGAGTTATCAGCATGGAATTGCCCACTGATTATTTATTTTTAACAGTAGCTTATTTTCGTTGACTCTGGAGTTTTAAATATGGGAGAATATCTTAATTTTTATATACTCAGAGTTGAAAGTTTGAGCTTATCTTTGAGCACACCAAAGTGTACTATATTCTTATTTTGCAGACCTCAAGGGAAATAAAGATTTCAGGGGCTATTGGACCCTGTGTGTCTCTCAATTCTAAAGGACCCTGTGTGTCTGAAAATGTAAGTTGTCTTTATTCTCAAAACAAAATATAGTTAATTTTCAGGGCAGAACCAAGAGAAACCTGGGGTGGCAGCCTGTAGCATTCCTATCATAATTATTATGTGGGCCAAGTTTTTCAGTAGAATGTGGTTCATCTTCCACCTGTATGCCTCTATTTGTGATTGCTCATTCTGCATACCCCTTTTCCTATCTACCCTTAAATAAAACTTTTGTACTGTCACCAGTCTTCCATTTTTTATGCCTAAGTTATTCCTTAATCCCGTGTGCCTAAAAAAACAGCAGATTTGGATATTTGGAGACTTGTAAAAGTTGAATAAATTCTGAAATTTTTTTTGTTAGTAGAGTTTTCAACGAAGTAACAAGGTTAGCCAGATTTAAGTTTCAGGTCCTTTTTCCTTATCCCATTTAGTGGGCATACAATACAATTTAAAATGCTAGAATCATATAGCTGTTGAGAAGATGATGGGACAAGTAACAAAGTGGGTAATCATCTTTAAAATGACAGCATTTAAAAGTTAATTTAAAAAAAAAAGTTAATTTTAAGCAGTTTGCATGGCAAAAATTTATACCTAAAGGAGTTATCTTGGGAATCAGACTGCTTAACTTATACAGTTCTGATCCAGAGAACCTGTATTCATATGTGTGTATATTACATGTTAAGTCAATATTCTACACAGATCAAAGGGATAGGAGGATAATGTTAGTTGTAATTAAATGGGATATACTTTCAAGGTTTATGATAAGAAGAACTTGTATCAGTATTTTGTAATTTACTTAGCAAGAATTTGAATTATAATTTTATTGTGTAAAAATTTGTTATAATATGTTTATATGATCTTAAAAAATTTAAGCTTTTAACATTCACTGAATGTTAGAAACTTGAGAAAGATAGTTTCTTACTGGAGTTTTTCATCTCCCTTTTCACCTTAATATGTATTATAGTGGTAAATTGTATTCTCTAGCTTTCAAACATACTGGTTTTTTTTTTTTTTACAGGAGATAGGAACAGGTGGCACTTGTCAGTGGAAGATATGTGGACTCAGTCCCACTACAACTGTAGCTATATATTTTGAGGTTGTCAATCAGGTACGATGTTTTATATTTGAATAATGAAATGTATATTTGAACAAGTCCTTAATGTAGACCACTAATATTTCTTTTCTTTCTCCAATAGTAAATATGAACCAAAGCTATTTATGCTTTGAAGTTTTTGTTTGACATTTTTTATTTCTCAAGGCTAAACCTCTTGGGGAAAAGATAAACTATAATAGAAAGATATGTCAGGGAAACCTGCAAATACTCAACCTTGGGTAACCCAAGTTTTAGTCTCCATTTTCTCTGTTCTTTTTTTTTTTAATATAAAATTGAAGCATAAATAAAATCTTAAATTCTGTTCTAGCTCTGCATTTTTTAAATTAGCTATCTAGCTTCTCCTAGTTGTCACAAGGCATATATGATATATGAGACCTCCTACAAGAATGTTTAATATATCAAAATCCCGAAAAAGTTTGGCTGGTAAAGATTCTAATATTTGGGGAGATTTTTTTTCTGGTATAGGAGAAAGTTATCATATTAAAGAATGATATAATGTATAATTATTGACTTATATACTAGGAGTTATTAGGCATAAAATGAACCACAAAATATTAATAGCTTTCCTAAGACAGGTGAAGAAATTTTTTTTAACAATTAAAGTACATGAAAAAGAGAGTGACTCATATTAACCACAATACCCCCCAAAAACAAAAAAACAAATAAAAAAAGTCTGTAGTCAAGGGGCATGAAGAAATTTTCCCTATTGACTACTGCTATTTCTTTCTGAGGATCATTATTGTATGTTACTACTGGTCTTTTCTCATTAATAGTTTTCTATTGGTCATCTATTCATCATGTGATTATATTCCTAAAAGTTTCGTTTTCATTTTATATATTTAGGAGAGGAGGACATAGCTCAATTTTTCTTTATACAATTACTATTAGGAAAAATTGCCATGCTTCACTTACACCTTTCCTTATCTGTCAATTTCTTTATACTTCCCTCTTCATTTTGTTCTTTCATGTCCCTCTGAATTATATATTATTTGAAATTCTTTCCCTAGCTGTAATCATTGCTCTTATCTTTCATTTTTACCCTCTCCCCAATCCATTTCTCTTTTATGTGGCAAATCACAACTGTTTGTATGCATTGGAAATAAGTATTCTAACTGATTTTGGAATGAATTTTATTAGTGCTAAGATAGGCAGTGACTGTGTGACAGCAATGTATGTCTTAGATTTTGCTTAGTGTTTACTCTTATTTTAAACAGCATAATGCTCCAATTCCTCAAGGAGGGCGTGGTGCAATTCAGTTTGTGACTCAGTATCAGCATTCAAGTGGGCAGAGACGCATCCGAGTGACCACTATTGCTAGGAAGTAAGTTTTGCTAGAGATTTAGTTTACTTATAAAACTATTCCGGTTGTACTCCTAAGCTGGGTTCCTATTTTGAGTGACATCTATGACTACAAAATGAACATTTTCTTTCTTAACCAAGCTTATTTGCTAATATATTCATTGTTAAGGACTGTGAAGGAATGAAAAAAAGAACTACTTCTAAGACATATTCTTCAAAATATTCTTTTATTTACCTTATTTCCCTGAGAGGAAAAAAATTCTGTAATAGACAGTAATGATATATAATATCCATGATACATATGTATGTAATAATATAACAATAATAGCATTATTTTCAACTGATGATAAAGTTCTTAGCTACTATTATCATTATATATATTTTTAAGTGTTATTAGTCATTTACTTCATTTACCAAACCTTTATTGAGTGTCTGCTATGTGGACTACTTATGGGGGAGAGTGGAAGGCGAAAGGCTTGAACATGCTTGGTCTACTGTATGATGTTGTGAGATAGACCAGTCCTCAAACTAACTGTGGTGAAGGGCCACTTTTTTTTTAACCCCAATTCTTTGGAGACTAATGCTTTTCTTAAGTACAATGAAATAAATTGTTTCTCAGCTACTTTGATAATCCCTCTGTATGTAAGTATTTGGAATGTTAAATAAAAGGAAGGCAATTTTGCAAAGAAGTTCATCAATAAAGGATTCTTAGATGAGGTCAGTCTAGAACTGAATAGGCTTTTTGGTCTATTTCTGTTTATCTAGACTTGATTGTCTTGAGGGGAGAGTGTTGATAAGTATAAATTTACATGATTTAGGCATGGCCTAGAAAATAGACACTGAAGTCATCTAAGACTCATTTCATTGAACAGTATTTAACCAGTAGCTTCATCTCTGAGAACCATGAGACTGTTCTGGTGAGTGATGGACATGAGCCTAATTTCTGAACTGAATGTTAGTTGTGTTGGGGTATCTGTTACTTAGCAGGGGGTTGTACGTAGATTTATTGTCCTGCTCATTACCCTGCTTTGAACTAAAATCCTGTACCAATGTCAAATAAATTTGAATAAAAAGGCGAGTTCAGATTTCAGATCAGGTGCTTCAAAGTATTGATTCTTGGCAGACATTTCAGTTTATTTATGCTCCCTCAACACATGCATACACATATGTGGAACTTAAATGGGACATTCAAAACATTTACTTAAGAAATAACTGACATGCTAAATTGGGGGATAGTTTACAAAGCCACTGGCTTAGAATCCTTTAAAATGTCTTAGAAGGCAAAGAAAATGTTAGTAACTAGTCCAGATGAATGAGACTAAAGAGACTTGCAACCAAAGCTAATATGTGATCCTGGATAAAATTCTGTCTCAGGAAAAATTTTGCTATAGAGGACATTGTTGAACAATTGGGAAAATTTGAATATGATCTGTAAGAATAATATTATACCCATGTTTAATTTCATGAATTTGATTAATTGCGGCTATATAAGAGAATAAAGAAAGTTTTCCTGTTTTTAGGAGATAGACACTGAAGTGTTTAGGGAAGAGGGTCATAATATTTCTAACTTAGCTCTTGTAAGTTCAGCAAAAGAAAAAGTGTGTATGTGTGTATAAAGGAAGAGATAATGATAAAGCCAATATATTAACATGCTAACAATGGATAAAACTTAAGTGATGGGTATATAGGAGTTTATTCTACTCAGAGCTTTTATGTTTGAAATATTCTTAAAATAAGAAATTTTAAAAAGGTTAATCTTCCAAGAGAAAGGGAGCTTTCTTAGAAATCTCTTGGGTTTATGTATTTTCACTTTGCTTGACCAGACTTTATGAGGCTATTTGTGGAGATGTGTGTTACAGTGCCAGTTAGATCATTGTGTCTCACCAAAGCATCCATCTTTTCAAATTAACTTATCCTGACTATTTGCCATGATCCTCAGGGCTTATTTCATTTTTATTTTTTGGAAATATGATTTTAGGGACCTAGGCAAGTGTATTTGTTAAGTGAGGAAGCCATGTGAAAGTAAAGAACTCAAGTTCCTGAGATATATCAAAAGTTGCCATTTTTCATACAGAAAATGACTGATCTGGGAAATTTGGTTTGAACTAGTTGTTAAGAATCACAGTACAGGGGTATAGAAAAAGCAGAAGATAGATTTTATTTACAGTTTGAGTAAGCCTTTTAAACTTGATTTGAAGAGTACACTTTTTAATTTAGGGCTAAAAAGATATTAATTCGTAAATTTGTATGTGCTTACTTGCTAATGTAGTTCCACTACTGAGCCATTGCATTTTCAAAAGAAAAATGTGACCTTTATGTTTCAGTTTGAAACAAGTGAATATCATGGTCTCCCAACTTGGTCAAATGCTAATTTAAACAATTTTGATTTTAGTTATTTGATTTTTTTTAAATTAAAAAAAAGTAAACTATTAGTGTAATTACTGAGTGTTTAAATTACATTAAAAATAACTGAAAATTATCATTTCTTTTACCCATTCTCATTCTTTTTTGCCTTTTGCTATTTGACTAGACTGAGATTATTCACAGTTGTCAGTCATTTGGAAAATGTTCAAAAATTATTTGTATATTTGAGAAAAACTATAAACAGAGGAAGAAGGGAGAATTTTGAACATGTTACTGTTTGAATTTCCTTGGGATCACTTTTTAAATTTTTGAGTCATGTGCAAATGGTCCAGCTTTTCTAGAAGTCTATAAGTATTGCCAGACTTGCTTAAGATCAGGTATTTTAGAATTAAAATGAGCTGAATATTACAGAAAAGCATTAAACAAACAAAAACTATTACTGGGTCTACCCAGCATAATTTGACAGGATTGGATTTATAGAACATGTGACTTTAATAAATTACTATTTTATACATAACATCAAATTAATATCTTAGACTAAAATTTTCATTTACTAACTTTTGATTGGTTATAGTTGTGTATTAACATGGAGAGAAAAGAATATATAGAAGTTTTAGTCATGTAATTTTTATTACAAGTAATTAAATTAAAGACCAATGAGAAAAAAGCTTCTGATATTTCATTCATTTTCCAGTTTAGTAAATGAGAATTACTTAGGCTGAGAAAAAAGCTTTATTTTTGTATTTCCATATTTCTGCTTTTACCAACTGAACAAGTAAATTTTCCATGTCTGGTATATATGTGCACATGCACACATACCTATGCTATTATGTATACTTAAAGAAATCAAGTTTTAAGGAAGGCATTTGGAAATCTATCTTATGGTTACTTTAGAGGATGTTATTAGTTTTGGATATATTTTTCTGAAAAACAGTGCAATCCTGAAACTGCTATTAGTGATATTTTAAAAAATGCTGTATTTTCTAGGTAATATTGGAATTTTGAAATATTAAAATAATTTTCTACGTGTTTTTAATTTAAATCTGTGATAACAATCAACTATGATTTATGAATATAATACTTCAGTAGCATTTCTGTGCTTTTTCTTCTTGTCTTTAGCTGGGCAGATGCTCAAACTCAAATCCAAAACATCGCTGCATCTTTTGACCAGGAGGCAGCTGCCATTCTTATGGCCCGGCTGGCAATATATAGAGCAGAAACAGAGGAAGGGCCAGATGTTCTTAGATGGCTAGACAGACAGCTCATTCGGCTGGTAAGAAGTACACATTGTGCTCTTTTTTTTTAAGTCCATATGCTTTTATTTGTAGTAAATATTTGTTGCTGATAATCTCTTTCAAAGTACTTAACAGTGTAACTGAAAAGACTATATGAGAGACCTCCTATTCAAGCTGCTGAGAAGGGCATAGTAATGAATAGTAGACATATCTCTTCTAGTCAAGTAAAATAACCTTTTTTCCTAAAATGAAAGTGACAGTTACGTAAACTACTAGTTTTCTTGTTTTTTTTTTTTGAGCTGGTGTCAGATTAGTTCCAAATTTAATCCTGGTTTTACTACTTTTTTGCATATTTTTCTTCATTGCTATGGTTTAGTTTCTATTTTCATTTTAATGGAGTGTTTTTAGAAAAATTAATTGGGATATAAAATTATACATATTAACATACAAAAATGTAGACAAGTCTTGATTACTTGGATCTAGATTACCAAAGGGTGTGTTAGTAAAGCTGTTCATAATGATGATTTACTTGGGTTTTTAACATGCCAGGAAACCATTACTTACATTATGAGCTGTGATGTATAAGTTCTGTTCTGAGTGCTCCATTTTTGCTCAGCAAATTCTGACCTGTTATTTCCTTGAAAGTACTTCTTCAGTTCACTCTTTGAGACACCCTGTTGAGAACTCTTCTCTGCTAAAAATCTAGGAAATCTAGTTCATTCTTGAGTGAACTAGTCTTTGTTTAATTAAATTGGCCATTTTTCTAGCATAATCCAGAACTTTTTTTTTTTCTCATTTCCTCTCTGAGTGTTTTTAGGACAGTGTTAGGATGTCAGTGTTGTCTTTTTTTAAACAGGCAGCATAAAACCTTTCATAGCTGATTGCACATCATCAATGCAAATGCTGTCACAGTTCCTTCAAGATGGACCTTTTATTTCCAGATAGGAAGATAGAACATTAAATATATTTTGACCTCTGCTTGTTTAAGGCAGCAAAAAAGTTTTCTTGAATTTCATCAGTTAGCAAATTGACCTATTGGTAAAATTTGTTGACTCATCAACCTGAATAGAGAAGCTATTATTTTTCAGCTGTTTACACAAACCTTTTCAGCATCATGTGACATGTCATCTATGCATTCACATATTATATTGTTTTAAAATGGAACCTTTTCAGTTTCTCAGACTGCATCTTGTCCTGGCATTTTACTGTAACTTTACATATTGATATTATTAGGTTCTCACCAACTGTGACTTTTCCTTTTCTGGGTAATAAGTTGTGTTCTGTAACAGCTTGCTTCTTGAGCCTTTTCACTGAATGTGACTTTGTTTTAGCAAACATTGTATTGTTTTGAGATTGTAAACCTGTTGTTTGTAGTAAGCAGCACCTTTATTTGTCAAATAGCTGTGATTTGTAGTTAAATGCTTTTTCTGTTTTGCTGGAGCTAATAGTGCATTTGGACATTATCATATGACACAAAATTACATAGTACAAGTTGGGTTAACAGCCCATGTGAAAGCCACTGATAAGTAGCTTTCATTGTAAAGGTGGACTTTTTTCTGTTTCCCTTGTTGCATGAGTATGTGAAATGACTCAGAAGATTGAAATTCTTCAAGATGCTCTGTAGGCTTGTGTCTAGAATCTTTCTCTTCTAGCTCATATCTAAAATATTAAATCTGCCATATTGTTTGACATGCTTATAAAAAACAAACACTAATAAGATATAAAACAGAATGGCCTATAAATAAATAAATGGCACAGTTACAAAAAAGTACAAAATTACAAAACCTCACACTATAATTCACTTGTAAGCTACGTATTCTGCAGTTTGCAGCAATTATAGCAGCAGCGAGGCTCCTGGGACTAGAGCACAGGTGAGTCATGGCATGATGACATCTTACTGTGATCTTCTGTCACACCAGTGTACCTTGTCTGTTCCTGTAAGTCAGAAAGCGACTAAGAGGAGGTTGGTGGAGGTAGTTTGGAAGGGGCTGATGTTATCAGACTGCTGCTCTGTGTTCTGTGCAACACAACTTTCACCAGTAATCCATGGCCTTACTTACCTTGTGTCAAGGACCGAGAATCAAGCTATCCAAATGACCGCAGTCCTACTACTGCATGTTGCCATGTAGGATTGAAAGATTCCCTAAAGAAATGGCTAACAGGTTCACTTGGAAGCTGTCCATTACTGTGGCTGGCATTGTATAGTGTGCAAGGTTCAAAGAACGATTTTTAAAAAATTACAGTGTCTTACAGAACCCTGGTGGAGTAAGAGTGCCTCATATGGGATAAAAGTTGTGAGGAGGTGATCTATACATTATTTTCTTTAATTGATTGAATCGAGTGAGCGTACTGTTGATGTGAAGCTTCAGGTGGTAACAAAGAACCTTAGGTACAGAGGCTGTTCTAAGTCACTAAGAGAAGGTAGCCTCATTTTTTGTACTGATTCTACACTGCTGAATTTTCACATATAGCAATGATAGCAACACAAAATTTATACCTTTTCATACTACCCTTTTATAAGCTTTTTCTATGAAGAAATCTATGAAATAAGCAAACTCTTTTTGCCTCACTTTGGTGTAGTGAATGTAGTTGCTTTATTTTTTCCTGATGACTCAGAGCAGTTTTAATAAAAATAGACATCTTTTTAAAAACTGTTTTGTAGCGAATAGACATTGTATGGCCAAATTGGTGCTACTCCGCATTTGCTTCTGACACCTTTAATATAAGTTCTCGCTCCCCTTGGTCAGAATCACTTAAGGTACTGGTATCAGTACATAATTTACTACCTCTGTTCTCAGTCTCTTTTTTGGTCTCTTGTATCCAGCTCACAGATCTGTTCCTTGCCTTTTTGACTCCTGACCTTTTCTATTGAATAGCATCCTTTTACAATGTAAAATTGATACTTGAATTTTGTTCATCCTTGACCTGTGGTTTACCACTTACCCACTAATTATATTCTGCCTTAGCTATGCTGCTATGATGGGTAAAAGTTCATTGGGTTAGACTTGGCCCAGAAAGTCTCTCTTTTTAAGACTTTTGGGCTTTCCATGCAGAATTGACCCCAGCCAGGTTTTTTTTCTTGCTATACCAGGACCAGGCACTTTAATTGTGTTGTTTTTAAAGATAACCACTTTTGTCATTACCATTTTCTTATAGAGGTTAGGCTTTGACTTGTAGGGCCCTCTTGTTAAAGTGGCTGCCTTTATGCATAATTAATTACTGAAATAAAGACAGTACTAGACTTCTTGCAAATGTTATTTTTCTTAAGAAAATTGTATTAGTGTTGCTTTATCTGCCCAGGCCTATTACTTCTGAGTAACTCAACCACTGGGTCTTTGAATACCTCCTATATGCTTTAATCTTTTCAACATGATGGAAAAAGCAGGAGCCATTAAAAAAAATATCAAAAGATTTTAGTACACTAAAATGAAACAAAAAAATCTGTGTGGTAAGAATTACCATTAGCAGAATTTAATGCCAACATTTTATATGTATATTACAGAATGTAAATTTTTTTTATATAAAAGAGCTCTTAAATCAGTAAGATTTGGGCAAAAAATGAGCAAAAGTCTTGAACAAAGAATTATCAAAATGAGTGCAAGTGGCCAGTAAACATGTGAGGAAGCTAGCGATTTCATTTATAATCCAAGTTGGAAAGTAGAACAAGAAAACAGTTTTTATCTTTCAAACTGATAAGAGTTAGAAAAACAGGAGAATGCTTAGAGTTGGTTAGTATTCAGGGAAGCGCACTGCTTCATAGCTTGTAGGTTTGGTATTGAATCTGTACAACCTTTATATACATCTGTATATATAACCTTATATATAAAAGGAAGTGGTGGCATCTATCAAAAGCTTAAAAACTGCTTTTTACTTGGAAATTTTACCTCTAAGAATTTATCCTAAAGATATAAGGATATAATAGGATAAATGTAAATGCTAGTAATGAAGGAATGGTTAAGGTAGTTATATCAATAAACCAATATACTGGAATGCTAGTCAGCCATCAAAATGAAGTAATAGATTATGTTTAATGATGTGAAAAAACTAAGAAAAGCAAGAAGTTTGGACATAAATATCAAAATGTGTCCCACTCAAGAAATCAGCCTCTTGGACAACCCTGGTTACCCAAGCAAAGTGAACAGTCTTTTGTTACCCTCATTAATCATAATATAAGATTTGCCTAATGCTTTATTTTAACAGAGTTCTAGGCAAAATTTAAATGTATATATTTAATATAAGGTGATTGATAGTTCTGAACAATGTGTGATATATTGTCTTTTTCTCAAAATGTCTTCAGTGTATTTGATATTCTAGCTCAGTGCTGTCTAGGAGAATTTTCTGCAATGGTAGACATGTTCTATAATCTGCACTGTTCATTAGGGAACTACTACCCACATGAGGTTATTGAGCACTGGAAATATGGCTAGTGCAACCGAGGAGCTGGATTTTTATTTAATTGTGACTAATCTAAATTACCACATGTGGCTAGTGGCTATCATATTGGACAGTGGAGATTATTATCCTTAATCGATAAACTTCATCTGTGAAATATTATTAGGGGGCTTTGAGGACAGCAACACTCTTATTCCTAGATCTAATTTCTGAGGATTAGCTCTACACTAGAGCTTTTTCTACCCTTTGGATAACTGTGATTCTGAATTGACTTTCCATGGTAGCCAAAAATGTGATCAAACCAACTAGTCCTTTTATGTGCTCTCTAAGGCACAAATAACTATAGAAATGATACAGTTGAATATTCTAGGCAGCAGAAGTCCTGCTGTACTTGTAGTGAAGCCTTTGTTATTTTTTGTTTGCTATTTTGCCTTGATTGTATGCAGTGCAGTGATAAACATTGCAGACATAGATCAGTTGTATCCATACTAGAAAAACCTTTCAGGTCAGAAGCTTTGCTCAAGAACAAGAGAGGAAGCTAACACTTACTGAGCGCTTAGTGTCAGTCATGGTGCCGAGGACTTCTTCATGAATATTGTCTCAGTTATTCAGATGCCTTTTGTTACATTATCAAAGAAGACTTACTTCTCTTGTGCCAGTGTTATGTGTCTCCTTCTTTCCTTCTAACTTTTGCCTGTGTGTTTCTTCTTTGTTTACTAGTTTACCTGTTGGACTTGGATTTTCTTTTCCTCAACTCTTCTTTTCTTTTTGTTACTGTTTTGAGTATACCAAATTTTATACTATCAACTTTCTTTGTAGTCACTGTGGTATTTTTAAATTGTGTGTATTTCTGTCAGTATTGTCTTTTTTTAGGCAGAGTCTTAGGGGGCACATGTTGAACATTTCTTTGGTGTTTTCTTTTGGTCATTACAAAAAAGCTCTTTATTTGTTATCAGAGACACTTAGTTTAAAAGAACCCAAACATTTTAAGATGAGTTGTTACTGCACTAGAGTAATGTATTGTTTGCTTCTGAAATTCAGATGTATTTCTTTGGTTGTAATCATTCTCTTGGTAATTCTTTAAGTAATTATTCTACTTTTATCCTATATCAAGAGTCTACCTCCTAAAGAGCAATTACTTAAAAAAAAATTATGTATAAGCAACAGATTTAGGTCTATGCCAGGGAATATATTACTAACATGTTTTGTTTTACTTAGTGTCAGAAATTTGGAGAGTATCACAAAGATGATCCAAGTTCCTTCAGATTTTCAGAAACTTTCTCCCTTTATCCACAGGTGAGTAGAAAAAGGGCCATGTTCTTTTCTTAGTGTTGACAGTAGCATTGGATCTCACTTTTTGTTTGTCTTTTATTACTCATCTTATAGGTCCTTTGGTTTTGGGTTATTCTTTTGGTTAGGTTTTAAGTTATGGGATGGCTAAGTAAGAAATTAATTGGGCTTTGACTAGTCAGTGAAATGTATATTGTATTTTTATGATGGCCCTGCAAATAGTCATTCATTTGTGGTGAACAGAAATTTACACTGGAACCCTACTGTGGCGTAAACTTAAGCGTGAGGCAAACTAGCTTTCCATCTGATGCAAAGGTTCTAATTACAGTAGTACCAAAGTAATTTTACCTATCAGCTAGTCTTACAGCATGGGCTTCTCACCTGAGGACATACCAGATAAATAGAAAAAGAAGCTAATTTCATTAGTCTTACAGAAACTTTTCCACTTGCATATGGATTCTGTCATCTGTTGTTTTGATACATATTTTAAGATGTGTAGGTTGTTCATATGGTGAGTAACAGAGATACTATTTTTTCAAATGAGTACGATGTGCAAGAATAAAGAAGACTGACATGGATCCCATTTTCAATGAGCTTTCAGTCTGAAGGTTCAGATCTGAAATACACATAAACAATACAGAATGGGAAGTGAGAAATGCTATGAGCATTTCACAAAATTTAAAGGAAATGATCAAGGAATCCTTCCAAGTGGATGGTTTGATATGTCTTTAGAGAAGAGGTGGCGTTTTAGCTTAGCCTGGAAGGATGAGTAATATTGAGGTGAGGAAACAAATTTCTGCCCATGAAAACTTTGTTTAAAGTTTCAACTTTGTTTTCAGAACTATTCTTTAGTTTCTTGAAAATCTTTTATTGATCAGTAACCAGGAAACTCCAGGTTTGTAGAGGGAGACTTCCCTAAACCTCTGGTTGCGGTTTTGGAGAACTAGAGAAAAGCACAGAATCTATTTGTCTTAAGGCAGGTATAATAACCCTTTCTTTTTGGGAATTCTTAGGCCTCATCTTTGTTTTTTGTTTTTTTTTTAAGTATCATTGACATACAAACTTATGAAAGTTTCACATGAGCAACATTGTGGTCTCAGTATTCACCCATATTATCAAGTTCCCTTCCACCCCATTGCAGTCACTGCCCATCAGTGTAGTAAGATGCTGTAGAGTCTATATTACTTGTCTTCTCCCTGCTGTACTGCTTAGGCCTCATCTTTGTAGCAGAAACTAATAGGGAAGGAAATGAGGGTATAAGCTAAGCGTTTCACTAAATTCTCCACACTTTCTCTTCTCTCCCTACTCCAAGTCTTCTTTTAAGGCTTTTAGATTTGAGAGAGCTGGGCATCCCATCTTTTCTTCTCTACTGGAAATAGAGAGACGAGAACTCAGAAATACTTATTCTTTAGATTTTCAAGGTCTGCTTATAAAAGGTGACATAGACTAAATTTAAGGGAGATCATCATTTCCAGAATATTTACCCCAAAGTTCACTAGTTACACACTACTGTGTGTAAATAGGAATGGTGGAAGTGTAAGGGATGAGAGAGCCTCTCAATTCAGCCTCTCTCTGAAAAAGAAAAGGAAGGATTATTTCAATGAACACCATGTATTGGCAGAGAACCATGGAGTCCCAGGCAGGAGCAGCGTGTAGGCACTTCAGGCCTGAGGGCGAAGGGAGTTGAAAGACAATGGGATGGTTTGGAGCGGATCCTTTTGATTGTATCAGAGTACAAAGGACAGTGTGCTGTCTTTTATTCAGGTCTAACACACCCCCTTTTTTATCTCTTTCCTATGAGGAGTGGATGGAAGGGGAGAAAGTGAAAGGAGAAAGAAATAGAATGTTTCTTAGGAATCAGGAAGACCTTAAATGATAAGAAACAAGTGGGTATATGTAAGTGCTTTTTAAAAAAAACAATGGAGATCCTTCCCAGAGCAACTTTTGGGAACGGTATAAAAAAACAGAAAATCTGTTAATCTATTTTTATGTTCTCATAGAGTCTTGGTGGTGGTAATGAATGGTAATTAAAAAAAACCTTCAGAGACATGTCCGGAGAGATGGGGAATAAAAACAAAGGATGCCAGTAACATACCACCTGGCATCAGCCTCAAAATAACTTGGATCTGAGCATGGAATTTTGTCCCTATTCTTGTTTTCCTTCTGAGTCACCTCTTTTACCTTTTTTAATGCTGTTGAGTTATATTTTTAAGTGACTAATTAATATCATGAATAAGATTCTTTTTAAGGAATATAATTGAGAATGTTCGTATAGTAACTTGTTTTATTGTGCTAACAGTTGTAATCAAATGCTTTTGTGATAGTAACTATCTCATGTTTTACCTTATAGTTTATGTTTCATTTAAGAAGATCGCCTTTCTTGCAAGTTTTTAACAATAGTCCTGATGAGAGTTCATATTATCGTCACCATTTTATGCGTCAAGATTTGACCCAGTCTCTAATCATGATTCAGCCTATTCTGTATGCGTATTCTTTTAGTGGACCACCAGAGGTAAAAGGGGGAAAAAATTTGGCTTTGTTACTGTGGTGTCCCAGTAAAAAAATGTAGTTACTAAGTACAAGAATAACTCAAGAATAGTTATCTTGTTTTTCATATATTCTTTTATTCTGTAATTAAAATAGTCTGTTTTACCACTTTAAAGTGTATAATGACTATATTTTAAAAATAATACTTTAGGAAGTTCTCTTTATGCTTTAGTGTATAAAGAGAATATTTAATATATATACTGACTAGTGATCTCTCATGATGCCTTTATTTACTATTTTGCAAAAAATAGTGGGTAAATGTTTTATTTTGTTACTACAGTTTTGTTTAGTAATTTGTCTACTTTTCTAGAAAATACATATTTTACTATGTTCGTTGACCTTTAAGTTGGTCTTACGGTTTTTTGAATCAGGACAGAAAATTTTAGGGGCAATTTTTTTTATTTCAGAATAATAATATGTAAGTTGTAGACATCTGGAAAATGTAGAATAGTGTTCAGAAGAAAACTGGAATCCCATCATAGCACTACCCCCGCCTCTGTCAGATTCCAGCCTTTCCATTTATTCTGTGGGTGCTGTTAGCTCCGTTTTCTTAAGGGTTGGCTTTTATAGTTATCCTCTTTCTCTCCTGCATTATCACTTTCCATCTGGATCATTCTCATTAACATAGGAACTTTAATAGCACCTTATTAAAACATACAAACAAAAACCTCTGGGCTCTACATTTTCTCTAAGTGCCACCCCATTTCTCTGATCCAAGTCATAGCTAAACTCAGAAAGTGACTTTTCTGTATGTTCTCACTTCACATTGTCTTCTCAGCCTATATTAGTCTCAACCTAACACTCTTATCAAGGCTACCAGTGCCCAATATCTTGCCAGAACTCTAAGCAGTATTTATGTATTGGAGATTCTCCTTGAGAGCCTTTTGTTTCAGGCTTCTCTGACACCTACACCACCAGCTGGCTTTCCTCCTGCTGACTGCCTATTTCTACTCAGTCTCCTCTTGCTGGCTTCTCCTGTCAGTCCTCTAACTGTGGGCTGCTTCAGGGTTCAGTCTCTGGTTTCTTCTCTGGCTTCCCTTAAGTGGTACAGTCTAATCACACAGCTTCCATTACCATTTTTGTGCACAATACCAAAATTTATGTCATTAGTTCTGTCCACACCGTGCATTTCATACTGTGAACTCTTTTTGCATCTCCCAATTTGCTGTACCGCAAACCTCCCTGTCACTCAGTGGTGTTACTGTCAGGCTTAGGAGTCATCCCTGATTTCTTTGACTCTGTTCTATTTTTAAACTGTTATTTCATTTTTGAGAGTCCTCAAAAACTAAATTAAAATACAACATGACAGTTCATAATAGCAAGAGGTTTTAAGTAATAAAGTATAAAGTTAAAATTTTTAAAATATCCTGTAAAGATCTGTTTTGTGCCTTCAAGTAATTTATTTTTCCTTCCTCCTCTTCCCTCATTGTTTTCTTTATGTTAGCCGGTGCTTCTTGACAGCAGCAGCATTCTTGCAGATCGTATTCTTCTCATGGACACATTCTTCCAGATTCTGATTTATCATGGTGAGGTAAGATTCCACAGCATTTGAAGCTATGCATACAGGTGAAGTAAGGTCTTTTACTCGTGGAGGCTTCCCTGGTTTACTGTATGGCTAGTGTTTCCTCTATGATAAACTTTTATTTCCACACACAGTTGGACAAATAGATTTTATACAACGCATAGTATGAAAGAGCGAGCATAGATGTATACATAGACATATCACACTTTGGGGTTTTGCCTGAAGACATGGAGAGGGGAAAAGGTAGCCTTTGTCAGTGGGGAGGCTTTCCTTTTCATTATTTTATCATTTAAAAGTATTCCACATGAAGTATTTAAAGTATCTTAAAAAATATTCCACATGATCTTGAAAACTCACTTAAAAAAGCATTAAGTGAATTAAAATTTAGAACTTAATTGGAGTGGTACATGATTGAAGAGAACAGGATATTTGGTAGCCATGAAGCTTTAGTCCAGTTATTTAGCAGAACTCTTGCCCATGCTTGCATCTGTGCATTCAGCCAGAACTGAAGTGCTTCCTCTGACTGAGAAAGCACTGTTCTCTGGATCCCCTGCGAGACCGAGATGCTTTTTTCATAGACCCACACTCCAGTTTATAGGCTAGTAGTCCAGTAACTTGTGCAGATTTATTTTTCTAGTTGTTTCATTATAAATGATTTTTGATTTGTACTGCAACAGTAAAGTTACTGATAACATCATTTTAAGTAATATTATCCAGGGCTTCTAAAGACTTATTATTATTTTTAGTTGATACCAGTTACTGATGCCCTTTACTTTTAAAGAATAATGGTTTCCTTAATGTTTATACATCTTGCCAGAATGCAATTTCAGTGGTAAAGACTTCATAATAGTAGTTCATTAATTTTGAAGTCTCAGGGAGACCTTCTGTTAAAAATTTACTCCCATTTATCATTAGCTAAGGTAGGTAGCTTTTAGCTAATATCACTATGATCAGCATAGTGTTTAAACATTTTTTGGCTTCATTATTATTTCTTTTTAATTTTAAAGGAGAAGTAATGTCCTAATTTTTGCATCTGTTTACTCAATACCAAAATTAGTATTGTTAACTTAAAAAATTGAGTTAAATGAAATAATGTTTTGAATTTTCTTACTTTCTGAAGATAACTTCCTTTGGGAAAAAAAATCTCAACATTTTTGGATAAACAAGAAATTAAAAGTAGTAATTCCTTTAATTGTTTTAAAATTAGACCATAGCGCAGTGGCGCAAGTCAGGATATCAGGACATGCCAGAATATGAAAATTTCCGCCACCTTCTGCAAGCCCCAGTGGATGACGCACAGGAGATTCTCCACTCCAGATTTCCAATGCCAAGATACATCGATACAGAACATGGGGGCAGCCAGGTAAGGACTGTTAATTTGTGTGTTCATTGCTGATTTTGCAAAGAGTTGTTCCTACTTGCCTTCTGACTTTAATTTGAGTAAACTGCTTCAGTAGGCAAATGAAAGAGGAAGGGGATGGGCACGTGCAGGTTCCAAGGGGAAGGTATGCTTGCCTTTTGCCTTACCTTTGAGAGCAGAGCAAAAAGGTTATCAACTAGTTGCCTAAACCTGGCCATTTCTCCCATCTTCTGCCTCTAGCCCAGCTCTAATAGAGCCAGGATGGTGTTAGGGTGGTATGCCAGCTTTAGTTGAGCTAGAAGACGTGAACAACTTGGGGAATAATTTACTGTAGTTTTTAAAAATTGGTTTATTTACTAATAAAGACTGTGAATATGAAGTTTGTGGTAATTTAATTTTTTATGTTTTCCTCATTCTGTCATTTCAGTTTTCTAGAAAATATCATCTAATAGGAAAGCATTATGACATTATAAAAGGCCTTGGGTTTTTAGAATTACGAGGATTAAGTATGATTCTCGTACATATACCCACAGCCCTTTTGTGCCTTTCAAAAGGCTAGGTTAGGACCTCTAAACAGATGCTCTTAAAACACTTTTTACTTCTCCCTTATTATTCTTGTCAGAGTTACAGTAAATTAATTATACTTTGTTTTCACTTGCTCCTTGAAGGTAGGGACCTTGCTTCGTTTATTGCTGTGTATGCCTAGTGGCTATCCCTAGTATATCCCTGGCATGGTATTACAAAGTGGGTAGTAGATACTAGTATCTATTATTGAGAAATGATAGCAATTGTTAGAGTTTTACTATATTTATAATAAGAGCTACCATGTATTAAGAATTTGCAAAGCTGATAATGTTTTACATGTCTTATCTCCTTTGATCCTCATGTAACAATCCTGTTATCTCCATTTTACAAATAATAAAACTGAGACTTAGGTCACTTATAGGCAAGGAAACAGTAAATGGAGGAACTGGAATTTGAATACAGATGTTCTGACTCTAAAGTCAGGGCTCTTGTGCTGAACTGGTTACTTGTAGAATAGAAAAAGATTTTGTGTGGTACTAAATTTCAGAATAAGTGACTCCCTGTGTTCCTCCAATGTGTTTCCCTCTTTTATTCAAGTTATTATTTTCATGATGATAAGGCACAGTGGCTAAATGGATAAAATGTTGGGTACATTGTCTTACTGAATAGGCTGCAGTTTAAAAAAGTTTGAGAGTCACTGTTTAAAGTGATAGAGTATTTAGATTTTCATGATTTTTATTTTTAACATTTTTTTTTGGGACTTCAAACATCTGGTGATGTTCAAGTGTTTAGTAAATTTCAAACTACTTGTCATAATTATTGCACACATTATTTTTATATGCTGAGTTTTGGACTCAACAATTTATTATTATGAATGTATCATATGGAGAGAAGAGGGTGCATTTATTATTATCTATTTGTGGCATATAGTGTCCTACATATTTCAAAATTTAGGGTTTTTTTTAAGTTGCATTTGGTAAAATTAGCTTTACCAAAATGTATTAAATAAAATTAATTTGAGATGGCATAATGTATTTGTTCAGGTTATATTTTTTTGATAGATAATGTTATTTCTTCTTTGCTATTAAGGCCCGTTTCCTGCTTTCAAAAGTCAACCCTTCACAGACTCATAATAATATGTATGCCTGGGGACAGGTAAGTGTAAATAGTAGATCTTGGAAATCATGTTTTTATGTATTTGTATTTTGTTATTTTAGTGAGAACTACATTTTTTTCCTGTATATTGGTAATGATTTCTTTTGGAAAAGTAATGAAAAAATAAGAGTAGAAAATAGAATTAGCATTTGGTGGCACCATAGAAAATAAAAATGTGATCATATCAAATAGATAGAACCCCTTTATATTCCAAGTTTAGCACCACACCCTTGAGACACAAAGCAATAAAGTGTGTAATATAAGAGATTTAAGCTTGTTGCTAGGCCATGGACCACAAAAGGCCACAATAAGCTGGGAGAGGTCAGGGATTTTAGTTGAGCAAGAAAGGCTAGAGGCTTGGAAATCATTATTAATATGTTTTAATGTGATAGAAGTCCTTCCTCTTGGTTAAATGTATCAACATTTACTGAGTGCCCAGTATGCAGAGCTCTGTACTGGTACTTGAGGGTATGCAGTCATCATTCTTGCCTTTGAGGAACTTGCAATCTAGTATGAGAGAGAGATACATACCTAAGTAATGAAAACACAAGGCAGACAGGGCTCTGGGCTTTAGATATAAAGTATTACAGGGGTTAGAAGAGGAAGGAGGAAGCGGTCATGTGGTGGCAACAAGAGAGGGTATGAGAGCATTAAAAAGCTCAGAAAAAGGGACATTTCCTTTTAGAATGGTTGTTATGTGCATAAGTAGAAATTACATGAGGAAGGAAATTCTAGGCAGAGGTCAGTATGGACTAAGGTATAGAGTACATGTAGGGATGAATAGTAGGACAATAAACTGGAAACACATTGTGCAGCCGAACTATGTTTTGAATGGATCCTGAATGCAGATTATGGACTGAGGAGCTGTCTTTTTTGGTAAGTAATAGAATGTTATTGAAGGCTTTTGGACAGGGGAGTGAATTTGAGTCATAGATAATATAGTTGGATCTTCAGATTAGTTAGAGCCAGTTTGTAGATTGAAACTATTATCTGTTCAAGTAATCCAGGTAAGAGGGAATGAAGGCAAGATGGTGAAAAGGAAGAGATTTGGGTGATACTTCAGAAATTGACTCACTGAGGTTTGGTTAGAAGTTGTAGGAACGTAAAAGTTACTTTAAGGCAAGACAGCTATATGCAGAATCGGAATTCTGATTGGATTCTGGATTAGAGGTGGAGACTAGCTGTGAGGAATGTAATCGGATGATTTATTAAATTTGGACTATATATCAGATACTAGTATAATACTGAATTTCTTGAGTGTGATAATGGTAGGATATTGTCCCTCATCTTGAGAGATGTTTGGGAGTAAAACATTGTGATGTCTTAAATTTGTAGAAATGATTCAACAAGAAAAAATTTATAGAAACATAAAATGAATGTGGCAAAATGTGAATCAGTGAGTTTAGTTATAGAGTGTATGAATGCTCCTTGTACTTTTCTCTCTACTTTTCTGTAGGTTTGAATTTCTGAAAGATAGTAGAGGGAGAACAAGGTAATGCGGGCTGTTGAGCCTGGGTAACTAGGAGAACATGTACCAGAGAGAAAGTATTTGATTTTAGACACACTGAGTTTGAAATACCGTGTAGATAGCCAAGCTGGGCAGGCTATTGGAAATTTGACTTTGGTGATCAGGGAAAGAAGGTGAAAGTTAATCACAGACAAGTGATACTTAAAGTCATCACAATGGAAGCTTATTGAAGGAGAGAGTAGAGAGGGAAAAGAAGGATGAGATAAAACTCTGAGAAAGTACAAGTGGTAGGAGTATTTAATAAAATAATCAGAGAGGTAGAAGGAAAATGAAAAGAATACTGTCATAATAAGTCAGGGAGGACTTTATGGAAGGAAGAAGAAGGGAAAATACTTGGAGGATGAAGGCTTTAAAAAGGTGAATCAGTTTGACGACTAAGGTCATTTGTGGCCTTTGATAAGCGGTTTTAGCGTCGTGGTTGAGTAAAAAATAGATTATAAGGAATTAGAGGGTGATAAGGAAGTGGAGGTCATAAGTATAAGTAATTCTCTTGCAAACTTAGCCTGAGTTGAATAGTAGGATAGAGGGATGATTATAATTAGTGTGTGGGCACAGAAATTATTTGTGGACCAAGTGTAAGGAGCTTATGGGGAGACACAGAGGGACAGCTTATTGGTGCATATAGTAGATTGCAAGATGCTCTGTGGAAGTTAAGCAGTTGTATGGAGGCAAGACATTCCCTTCTGCAGACGCAAAGGGTGGTAAGAAGGATGAAGACAAAGATTTTGAGGTGGAGAGAAAGCTCAGTTGGAGCTCATAAGAGCCTGTGTCTTTTCATTATTTTGCTAAGAGTCAGAAATGCTGGGGTTAAGGACCAGAAAGTAAAAAAGATGAAAGCAGCTATAAGGACTATAAGAAAACCAAAGAGAATGAAGAAAAGGCTTTTACTGTAGTGGTGAGGGATGGCTTTGTTTACTAACAATTTCTGGAGAAGTATTACAGTTTTTGGAAGGAAATGTTAATTTTATAGATAATGATTATAATAACAACTAATAAACTGAATCTATAGTACATTTAGTCACCATGCTAAGCTTTTTATGCACTCCTACTTAGTTGTTAAAACATCCCTATGGGTGGTTACTACTAACGCTACTTTTCAGAAGAGGAAATTGAGTTTTTTGTAGGTTAAGTAACTTACCCAAGGTCACATAGCTGAACTGTGGCAGTCTGGATTTGAACCTAAGACAGTCTGACTCCAAAATCTGAATTTGTAATCAGTATCCTAAATTGATGATTACGATTTAGGGAGTTAACTTGGTAGCCAAGAATTTTACTAAAAATTGAGGACTTGAACACCTTAGTTTTTGTCACAAATGAGGCACTGACTGGTAAGCATTACCCCTGGATGGCCTGAAGAGGGCAGCATGTGCTCCTGGAATGCTGCTTATGTGGTTCGTTTACTTATGTGGTACAGAGCTTGGACTTCTCTGCCTAAGTCCTGGGGATATTTTAAAGAGAAAAAGGATGCAGTTGAAATACTGAGATCAGTCAACTGCAAATTTTCGGTAAGATTGAATTGTGCATTAGTATTTATAATTCAAGTAAGACCTCGACAGTATATAAATGAGAAAATGCATATATATTTTGTTTGACTAGAAGTAGCTCTGGATTGGGTCAGTTGAGGTGGAAGATGTGTAAATGAAAAAAAAATCAGATTTAGTTATATAGGAAGTAAAAAGAGCCACTAGGTTATTAGTTTAAGTCACATTTTTGAGACCTTTGCATCTTTGTGTCAACTATGAATGTAGAATAAAGAAAAATACTTCAGTGTTATAAAATAATGGATTTTTAAGAGGTAATAATAATAGCTTAAACATTTTGTATGTCTACTGTGTGCCAGGTATTTTTCTGTTTGTTTTACACAACATAACATGTTTGATCGTTAGAACAACCATGTGAGACAAGTCCCGTTATTATCCTTATTTTACAGATGAGGAAACTAAGACACAGAGAGGTTAAGTAATTTTCTCAGAGTCACACAGGCTTTGTAAGGCCCAGGATTTGAACCCAGGCAGTCTGGCTCCAGATGCTCAACTTTTAATCTCAGTGCTGTTGTCTTTCCTCATCATCAGTCATTCCAAGTCCTTATAAATTAGCATGAAAACACATGATAGATTTTTCTTTGTTCAGGATTGGTTACAGTGTGTCTGTGGCTATGCCAAACTACAACCACAAGAGCCATAAATTCTCATCTTTGCCATTAACTTGCTGATCTCCTCTAATTTCCTTGTTTTAGACTTTTTATATTTACTGATAAATAAGAATTGAATATCAGGTGAAAATTTTAAAATCCAGATATAAAATCTTCTAGAAAAATGTTTTCATGTTATAATAAAATTCCATTAGTGGACTGAATTACCAGCGTTATTTTGTCAATAGTTTATTAAAATAGAAGTTAGGAGTTTTCCTAACTCTTGCTAATTACTTAGAACTCACAGAAATCAATGAAAATGATTTGAATGAAAAATTTTAAGTATAGCTTATTTTAAAAAATACTGTAAATTTGCTTCCTTCTAGCTGGTATTTCTGTTAAAATATGTGTAATTGAAATTTTATTTGAGTAAATGGGTAGAATTAATTTCACCTGTGAAAATTTACTCCTTAGTGCTAAAGCATCAATTCATTCAAGACAAATGAACACTTTACTACTTTAAAGATTAAGCTGAATATGGAGCCATCCTAAACTGCAATACAAATTTAATGCTGACCTCTGTGGATTAGTGCAGGCTCCACAAGTTGAAGGACATGGGCCACAGTAAGACTTCGCTCTGTTCAGATGCCAGCTGTAGGTGGAATCACAAGGCACTCACACTCCTGACCAACTAGCTGCTGTGTGTGTGTGTGTGTGTATGTGTGGCAGCTGCAGGTGGAATCACAAGGCACTCACACTTCTGACCAACTAGCTGCTGTGTGTGTGTGTGTGTGTGTGTGTGTCAGCTGCAGGTGGAATCACAAGGCACTCACACTTCTGACCAACTAGCTGCTGTGTGTGTGTGTGTGTGTGTGTGTGTGTGTGTGTGTGTGTGAGTGAGTGACAGCGGTTCCCATGACCTGCCTCAGGTTTGATAGTTTGCTAGAACAATTTGCGGAATTTAGGAAAGCCCTACATTTATTGTATTTTTATTATAATTTATTTATTATAGTTTTATTAGGAAGGTTATAAATTAGACCAGCTAAATGAGGAGACAGAGAGCGAGGTCTGGGAGGGTTCTAGATGCAAAGAGTCTTTCCCCATGGAGTCAGGGTATATCACCGTCCCAGCATATTGGGGTAGGCATCAAACAGGAAGCTCCGCTGACCTTTGTTATCTAGAGTTTTTGTTTTTGTTTTTGCTTTCTTAACATGGGTATGATTAGTTGACTCTCTAGCTCCCCCTCTCTTTTCCTTTTGGGAGATCAGACTGTCTTAAAGCATCAAGCTTCTGATCACATGGTTGACCTTTCTGGGGACTGGCCCCCATCCAGAGTCATCTCATAGCATAAATTCAGGTGTGATCTGAGGGGCTCACGAATAACAAAGACTACTGTTAGGAAATTCCAAGGATATAGTCTCCCTCTCAGGAACAGGTACAAAGGCCAATCAGATTCTTTATTATACAGCAGGAACATAGGCATTATTCTGCTTAAAAGGATTTCTTTGTTTTAAACATTTGTACATTCTTTACACATTGTAAGGTATCATCCCATGTTTTAATCAGAGCAAATATCTTTCTTTTCCTCTAGGAGTCTGGAGCACCTATTCTCACAGACGATGTTAGTTTACAAGTGTTTATGGATCACTTGAAGAAACTTGCTGTGTCAAGTGCTGCTTGAAGTGCTAAACACATTAAGGACACTTAAGATGAAATCATATTTCAGTTTCATTTTTTTGCCTTTTGTTATTCTTCTGTGGAAACTATCAGATAGCTCTCTAGACTCTTTTTGAATTAGTATGGTTTGAGACAATGTGTGGAAAAATGTTCACATTTGTTGATTAATAAGCTGGAATGTAAGAGCAATAAGAACAAATTTGTTTTGCTTTCCACAGTATTATAACTCATTTTAGAAATCTGACATCTTTATAACTTAATTATGTTAAAGAGTAAAGGCAGTCTGCCTTGTACTACAGAGACACGCCTCATTTGTATATCGCAGGCAAATCCAAAGTGGCACTGAATGTCCTTGCTGACTTCTTGAAAACTTGTTTTTTAATTTTAACCAGAAAGTGAACAAAGTCCTTAGTAGTAATGATAAATGTGAACATTTTTGCCTATTCTTTGAATATTTTTCTGTGTTATCAGCACTTATTATGTACACACCTTTTCTGTTAAGGCAGATTTATTTTTATGATGATTTGTTTAGGAATTATTTGACTTTATGTATGGTAATTTTAATGAAGATATTTAATGTTTTTGGTCATTTGGAAAAATAGAGAGGAAAAGTTTTTTTTGGGGGGGGAAACAATCCCACAACTGACAATAAATGTGAAATTCCCACAAAGTAACCAACCTATGTGATTAAACATGATCATTTTTTTAAAAGGGAGATAAACAGTGAAGGATTTGATCATTTTTTAAAAAGGGAGATAAACAGAAAGCCTTTGCAGTAAAATGACTGTGGTAACTACTAGACCAGGTTTGGTTTTCACTGAATGTTTTTGTTGTTTCCCTGTGATTTTCTGAGGTAAATTTTATATTATATCCTTTAGTATTTTAACAAACTGTTTTGGGAGCTTACACATTACTGTTTTATTTTGTTTTTGCTTCTATTTTGTGAAATTTATTATGGTTCTTATTGAAACAGTATTATATATGTATTTTTTGAATTTTATCATGTGATGTTCAGTTCCATTTTGATTTATTCATTAGTATCATTCACTTTTACTTTTTAAAGTTTACTTGTAGCAGATGTTTACATTGCTAAAGCCAGATGTTTGACAATGAAATTTACATCAAGTACTGCAAATAAAAGGTGGTGCTATAATATGTGCTTAGAAGGACAGTTTGGTTATTGTACTTGCATGAATACAATCATGATGGTAAAACAGAAACTAAAAAAATTGTTAATATATTATATTCAATTAGATTAAATAAATTACTCTGTTTCATTTTATTTGAATTGAACTAGGCCTAAGTACCAATAAAATATACTTTCTCTGTTTCCCTGCTTATTCTGAAATCTAGTAAAGCCTGAGAAGCCTAATGTAAAATTAGCATTTATAAAATCTGCTTTTAGTGGATTATTCATTTTTTAAAATGCGTTTTTGAGATATGACTCATACCATTTAAACTGTACAGCTCTATGGTTTTTAGAATATTGAAGTATATAACCACCACATCAATTTTAGAGCATTTTCATCACTCCCAAAATACTTGTTTTTGCTATAAGAAAATTATATTTTGGAGTTCACATGTTCTGAAGTGAGGAAAGACCCTGTGATGATAACACATATTTAATTTGCCTGGCTCCGTAATTTATACCCTGTAAGAATGCATTGTTGTTTCTACTCTTGAGTGATATTTGGTACTTACCCCTGAACTGTCCTCTACTTCTATGTCAATTACAGCTGAAGGTGCTAAAGTACCTCTGTATTTAAGGGGTAAGAATGAACAAACACATCATCATACCCTTTTAGCTTACCATTTGAAAGAAATTACCCTGAATCATTTTTGTGTATAATTTAGCTATTATTAAATTGCTAGCTATTTAAATAGACTGTTGAAGAGAAAATTGTTTAACCCATTTAATGAACTTAGAGTAGATTAAGAATATTTGCCAAATCACTAGTAATACTGAGAAGCTTTGGTATTTTCAATTCATACTTGAACTTACTACACCTAGTGACCTTATCTCTAAGATGACTTTAGACCTCATCTATGTACACTTACATTTTGGGGTAACAGGATAAATTTATGCTTTTATTAGCTGATTCCAAAAGTGAGCTGACATTTTCTCATCTAGTTCTCCACTTGATGAAACTTCCCTCTCGTATTCCCAGCGCAGACACTACATTTTAGGAATGTGCTTGTGGTCCAGTTCAGACTAGAAGCCAAGGACTCATTTTCAACTCTTAATCTGCTCAACATTTTAGTAACCATATTCTACCAATTCTGTTCTGATATCTCCCTAGTCTATTTCCTGTTCTCCACCTTACTGTAAGATGAGAATCTTCATCATATCTCACCTGGTTTGTTAGAACAGTCTCCTAACCAGTCTGCTTTCCCCAGTTGCCTTTTCTCTGTCCCTTTCTTCAGTTCACTGAAACACAGATCTGATTATGTCATTTCCTTGCCCTCTTAATAAAGCCCAAACACTTTGACCCAGTAACATTTCATCCTGTACATCAAATTGGATCCTAGCTGTACCCTAGAAAAATAGTACGGAAGACACTTTTGAAAAGGTAGTATTGGAGAGGGGTCTCTGCTTCTACCTCAGGTGTCTGCATTTATCTTAGAGGTGATATTTGGGATCAATATTGTGACAAAAACATTATTTATTGGCCATTACAAATGAAATGCTCTGACTTTTTGTACTTGGTTTTATTTTAAATGAACATTTTTTTCATTTATTTTGCAAACAACACTGACAAATTAGGATTATTTACTTTTTAATGCCCATCTTTACATTTTAATTTTAATTTTTCATGCTTCCAGTGTACATGCATACATACTTTTTGTATTATATGCTTGGTTTGTATTCATCTTGAACATTTTATCAAGTAATTCTACAGATGTTTCTCTTGTTTTTTAAGTTTACCTTAGGAAATTAAAACATTCTTGTTATGTTTATTCTTCCTCCATTGTCTAATTATTGAAAAACAGCTGGTCTAGGTTTAATGTATTATTATCTGGTGACTATAATAGGCAATACCAGATACGGGATAGTGAAGTTACGTTACTAAATAAATTTATATTTTTTCTTCTCTGTGGATTATATGACATAAAGCCCATATTTGGATTGAGGATATAGTACTGGGAAATTGGATGTTTTTCCCTCCTAAGGAAACAGAAAAAATAAATGAATGGTAATAATGTCTAAAGCATTTGGAAGATGTATAGAAATATTAACTTTTGACTTCATTAGATCAACATAAATTAACTCTGTATTTTTAAAAGTTAAGGATAACAAAGACCAAAACATATTCAAACTAGAATATGTAACTTCCAAACCAGTGTAGGAAAAGAGGCAATAAAAGTAATTTGAAGAGAAGGCAAGCGAAATTTTAAAGGCAGCAAAAGGAAAGTGTGATAAAAGGGAAAAAGTAATTAATACATTTTAGTGTATTTTATGAAAATGGAAGAATGTCTTCATTGATCCTTCACTGTAATGAACAATAACATCACATGTACTATTTTTGGATCTTCTGCAAATTTGTCTTAGACTTCATAAAAATTGATCTTTTCACATAGCTGTGCTCTATAGCCAAATTTGTCAGTCTTTGTTCATAGATGATTAAAGAATACTTTTTATTCAAAAGTTTTTTTATTTGAAACAACAGATAAAAAATTGGAAAGCTCTTAAAAGATCAGTTTGACAGAGATTCATTAAATTTTAATTTTCACAATAAATTTCTAACTTCTTAAAACGGTTTATTTGGGATTGATTCTGGTGGTTTTCACAAAGCTTCTTGGTCTATAAACTAGAAAATTCAAGATAAATTTCTATTACATTTTGGTAAAACCCTCCCAAGTTTTTTTTCTTTTGCAAAATGAGAGCAAATGGCCAAATGGTGGTGAATATTGACATCATTTGATTTCCTGTGTTAGAACAAATGTTACAGTGAAAGTGATCAAGGCATTTGAGTATTCTGATTTCTTCTGGCCAACATATTTTTTTGTTGCTTTCCTGGCATTCTTTGAAATTTGATCATTTGTTCAATATAAGTCTATTTTCTTATATTTTTTTATTGTATAGTTAGTAGCTTTCTCCACAATTTCTGTGTTGATCTTCAAGAACAATATTAAAGCTTAGTTGTGTACATTGTTCAAGCCTGATTTAGACTGCAACTTTGCCTTCTTATTATCATCTAAAACTTCACACGAAGAAACATTTCTGAATTGTGCCACTAATGTAATGATTTATTTTCTTGATAGTGCTTTGGTTTTAAACAGTTTAAAAAGAAATTTTAATTGTGAAGATACTCAAGTTAAGTAAAGGATTCCATATATGCACTAAGATTTGCACTTGCAAAAAAAAAATTACACCTCAAAGTTCACACTATTTCACTGTTTTAAAATTTAATCACAACAAAAACTCAAGTGGTCACATAAATTGAGAGAACCGTTTCATTTTTGTACTGTGCTAGTATTGTTTATTTGAACTTACTGTTTAAACATGAACATATTTAATACTATGGGTATTGAAGCCACAGACTTGCCCCAAGGGAGTGGAAATGATTCCAAAAATGTTACTTAACCTTCCAAATTAAAGGATATCTGAGTGTAGAACGATATATGGAGTGTGGACTATATAAGTGGGAGTTCTCTGAATTGAGTCCCATATGGAACACAAAGTTTACCAAAGGATAAGTAATAAAAGTGTCCGAATTAGAAGGCTACTGTAACTCTGGGTGGGTGGCATGGGGGGGAATACACCTTCCCAGCCTGGGGCAATAAACCTTTGAAATTGAAATCAGTTAAAGGGAGAAATAAAGTGGAGGAAACCCATTTGACAACCTCTCTGGTCCATATATGTCCTTGTTCCCCTCTGTGATTACCAACTGATATGGAGATGGACTACTTTTCTCCACCCCTTAGAAACACCTATTGATAGGGAAATACACTAAGGCCAGGCAAGAGATTCTGGATGTTGCAATTTTACCCACAGTTACACAGATTATTAAAGCTCATCAGTAACCATAGCAATTGTATAGATTTTAGATCAAGAAACATTTTTTTAAGGTTGGAGTGATGTTATCATGATGTTTTTTGGAATTGATGGCATCTGATGATAAAACTTAAACCTACTTGCTCTGTTCTTATTGCATTACTATGTTTGGAAAGTAAACAGTTTGATTTACTCATGAATTAAAAAGTGTCAAAACTTATAAAATATATAACTGAACAATAAATATCTAAAAAATTTAAATACAAAAATTTAAATGAAAAAATATTTAGAACTGTACTATGTATCAAAACTTCCGAGACTGATGAGAATTAGGCTTGGGGTGGATTAATGATTGTACATTGAGCATTGAGTCCCCTATACAGAATTTTATTGTTGTTAACAACCATTTGATCAATAAATATGAGAGATGCCCTCTCAAAAAAAAACCCAAAAAACTTCCGGTATAGGAAAAAGGGCTATTAAAGGAATAAATGTTTTAAATGCAGCTGGAGAACAAGGACAGAAAATAAATGAACTTTGCATTCAACTCAAGAAAATAAAAGGGTAACAAATCTAAAGAAAAGGAGAAAGGAAATAATAATGATAGAATTAAACTTTTAATGAGATAGAAAAAATCAATGGAGATAATTAATAAAACAGAAAAGACAATAGCTTTAAAGTCTTAATAAAATAAACCCATTTTTAAAGCTAAGAAGATAATGAGTATGTGATGCCAAGGTTCTTGTCTGCAGAGTCAAAGAATGAACTTAGCAAACAGTCAAGGTAGGAGAGCCAGGGAGAGGCTTTAGAGATACAGTGAGAGAAGAGAGCTCCTGGCTCATGCTATAAGGAGACAAGAGAGTCCTTAGAGATGCGTTGTCTAGGGGTTTTATAGGCAGTTGAGGATTTTTGGAAATGTGATAAAAGGCTTAGGGGTGTGGCCTTGTTAAGTGGTCCCTGAATATTTAGAATTAAGGTATTTCCTGTTCTGATTTCCCCCTGGGATACCCGTCTTGGTCCGGGAGCATATCAAACATGGCCCCCCTCCCAGGCGGGCTGAGTTATTTGTCTGTTTGCTAAAGAGTAAGTTAAGAATCTTACTTCTTAAACTTCCTGGGTGTTAAAATGCAATCTTACCTCTAAGGTGGAATCCTTCCTGCCTTTTACTATGTTGTTTATAGCTGGGCCTGCATGCTAAATTAGTTGCCCAGTTTGCAGATCACCTCATCAGGTCTGAAGGAGGAAAGACAGCACATAGGCCTGGGCTTTTTAGCATACTGAAGTGAATCTTACACATGATCACAAATGATTAGCGTAATAAAACATGTGCTACTCTTCTTTATTGGGAATATTAACTGACCTCACTGAAGAATGACTAGAGCTTAATGTTTAACACTGAGTTTTGGTAGGGGGTTTCCTTGCATGTAGTTACATCGCTCTGACTGTAAATATCCTGCCTTGCTTTTTCCGGAGGCCCTCACCCTATTCTGTCTAAGCCCATGGTCCCTGTCTCATAAACTCATCTTCTGAATAGCATAGTGTGTGTATATGTGTGTTTTTAATGGAAGTCTTAAATGAATATTCAAAAATTTTTGTTAACAAGTATAATTATTGAGTTGTTTAAAGCCCAAGCCATCAAAAATTTTTCTCTAATGAGGAAATACTTGATGTTACAATCACATACTTATTTTATCACTCATGAATGTAGAAGTGACATAGTTGAGAATTTGTGGAATTTTGGAGTTAAAAGGGCCCATTGAGGTCATTAAGTCCTAACTCCTTACCCAGTTCAAGAATTCTCACACTATCCCTGCTGGCTGGTTGGTCATCTGGCCTGTGTAGAACACTTTCAGTGACAAATGAAATAAGGCAACTATAAATTGCTGGATGCTACAAGTGACTTATACTTTAGAGAAAAGATAATGCTAGTGAGTTGGGAAGGATTAATAACGTATCAAAATAAGCCTTGATCAGAATTTGATGGACAGCATTTAAATTTTTTACATAACACATTCTGAGGGACTACAATTATTGACCTACAAAGCCATCTGGCACTCTCAGATACGGTCATTAAAAGACAGTGGAGCAGCCCGAGGTGCAAGAGGTGTTTGACAATTTAGAAAAAGTCTTCCAAGCAGGACATCATGCCCCCAGTTTCCAACAGAGCACTATGTGTTTCCCAAATGCAATGATCGGAGTGTTTAGGTAGAGAACACTGCAAAGACTGATGGGGTGGATCTGTTTCCTGTGGGAAATGTGTCTGCTCCGCTGGGGAAGATGCTTTTTTTGTGGTCTGTGTCAAGATACTGCTCAGCTGCCTTCACACAGAAAGCAGTGACAGAGTGATCCTATGTATATATATATTTAACTTGGTCTGGGGACTGCATAGTTTGTTTTAGCAAAACATTGAAATGCATAAAATCAACAATTTTTGTAGGGGTTAGAAATTTTTCTAAGTAACAAATCTAGAGATTACTTTTGAATTACAGTAAAGATATCATTTTGAAGTGATACGTATCTGATTAAAGAAACTCCAAGGAAGGATCACATTTCACTTTAGTGATTTAAAGCAGATAGTGTCTATCTTAGAGGCAATTTAAAAATAACTCAATCTGCAGTAGTTTAAAAATTAATCTTCATAAAATTCTTGTGAGATGCTTGATAGGTCAAGTATTTTGCTTGTTTGAAAACATTTGCGAAGAACTGAAATTCAACAGATAAGAACATCATAGAGCAGTGCTTCTTAAACTTGAACATGCAGAGTTAACACCTGGAGATAAAGGTAAAATGCAGATGTGGGTAAAATTATAATATTCCAGAATCTCTCTCCTGGCTTTAGTGCATATCCACATGAACAGGTGTTCCTAAGGGGTGGAAAGAAGTAGTTCATCTCCATATCAATGGATAATTACCTTGGTTACCAAGCACTTATCTGAACCTGGGAGGTTTTGGGGAGGTCT